CTATCATCCATAGGCGATTCGAAAAATAGGCCTTTCAGCGCTGAACTTAGTATAATTATTATTCTTAATGTTCTACTTTTCGAATCCTCTACTTTTTTCTCAAACTACCTAAACCATTCATCACATGCACAAAACATTTCATCATTCACACTGAATCATCAACTTCGGTCTTTATTTCTCATTTGATATATGTATAAATAACTTTTATAAAACTTTCTGCTCTTGAAAATGTTTTGTTCGTTATAGAATCATGAAAAAAAACTTTATATCAACAATACTACCAAAATACGTACACCAGAGAAAAAATCTCTAATTATCATTCTTCAATAAAAAACAACATGCTCATTACTTTTTCATCTGTCTGTATTCCTCATATATCAACTTTTCCCAAATATCTCGTAGGACCTGATTTCATCAGATCATTCCTACAAAAACCGCAATGCTTCAATATCAATCATATTCATCTCATAAACATATATATCATATTCATCTCAAAAAATTATATATCATCTCGTATCATATCATCTCATCTCATATCATCATAATAAAACGCAAATCAGAGGCAGTCGTTCAATCCAGTCATCAGGATATTCTTCCACGACCAATCTCTGATATACCGCGCTTCTCCAAAAGTATAATCAACCAATTATACTCATTATTCATCATTATCAACTCATTAATAGACAAACCTACACGGGTGGACGTTCAACCTATACTTTAGGTCATCTGCCACGTCTGCCTGTGTAATCACTCGTCTATGGGGAAACTCTCAATATAAAATCAATACAATTCTTCAATTCTCATTATTCATTCTATCAACAATATTCAACTTCACGGAATTTCGAATATTTATTGAATTATTTGTCTAGTAGCCAAGCACACGTGATTATAGAACTAGCTAGCTCAAATAACCCGATAAAAATGAGAGCATATCATTTGTTATATTCTGGTAGTACGAAATGTTTCAAAAAATATATGTATCAGATATACACAAGAGCAGAAATGCAACAAATATACTTAAAAAATGCATTAGACACTTAAAAAAACTAAAAAACCATTTAAAAAATGCCGGGAGATATTTCAATCTCAAGTTTATATCAATGTTTCATTCACAAATTTCTCAACTGAATAACCTGTGTACTCATCAACACTTTGTTGATAATTATTAATTCTCAAGAAAAGAAAGTTGATAGCTAAATTCGAGTAATTTCACCTGAAAACAACTCGACCAATATGATTATTCAATATTTGAGTACATGCCTACTTATTGAAATTACGAACTCTTCAAAATTATTCTTATATAGTCTTAGTGACTGGTGGCTAACCATTATATTATTATAGCAGTCTGAAAAAATCATTGAAATCTCTGGAAAAGTATGCATAAATATAATTGTTCAAAAAAAACTACCTATGCTCATCGAGATGTCATTATTAAATCCCAGATCTAGTATCTTTATTAAATACTACACACATCATAGAAATGAGCGCCTGTTATTTTTCTATTTAGTTGAAAGTAAGCAAGGTTTATGAACTCATAGAAAGCAAAACTGTTGTCAGCAAAGTTGAATTTCGCAAGTAGAGGCATCGTAATGCCTACTAAGGCCATTATGCTACGGACTTGCACTTATTCGTTGAATCATAGAAAAAAAAAACCTATAATGTTTCAATCAATATTGACTTCGATTTTGTTCTTGATAGATGAATAAAAAATATCTACGTTCACCTAACTGAAGATCTCTAAAAATGTTGTTGAATCAAATTAAGAGTCGAGTAGGTATCACATAACTATCATCCTGTGTATTTATTAAACAAAGCTGAAGATACCTATATGTTTTACCTTCAAAATATTTAATAAGTATTAAAAAGTAGGAATGATTCAAAATGAAGTATATAGTTTAATGATTAGAATTGAAAGCATTTTTTGTAGGGAATTCAGTGAATAGCATTATTGAAGCAAAAAAGTATTGGAAAAACACCTGAAATGATTTTCAAATGTACGATTATATCGTTATCAAAACCTAATGTTACCTATGTGTTGTGCCCTAAACGAACAAAAAAAAAACGAATTTTTGAATAAAACATTCACTAAAATTTTATCTTTACATAATATCAACTAGTAAAATTTGTTAGCAAATATGTAATACTATTCGACCCTTCTCCCTACGAGCTGGAAAAATCATTCTTAAAGACACTAATTCATTGCCCAAACAAAAAATCTTATCTTGAATTCTGAAAATATAATAATACTAAAGGAATACTGAGAACTCGCTAGTCAATATTTTGAAAAAACTATCAAGATTATGAGTGATTGCAAAAAATTGTTCGGAATTGAATCCGAATTCTGAAAATCAAAAATCAAAAGTTATAAATAAAAATTACTGAGCCTGTTTTTCCAAATGTACCTATTTTTATCTACAAAATTCACGAAATAATCTTCTCAATTTTTGCTGTGCTATTTCTTCATGGGTTAGTTGAACTGTGGGGTTTACAGGGCGTACTGGCATTTGTTCAGTGGCGGAGAATGTATAGTTAGTTTTAAAAGTTTGAAATAAACGTGATTTTTGGGTTTTTTTCCAAGTCTAGTTTCATTTTTCTTGTATTAGTCAATAAATATTGTCGACGACTTAGATTATAACGAGCCATTCAAAGAAATTTTAGGGGAAGTGAATAGAAAATCTATGACTGCTCGATCAGAGTGAGCTGAAAGTGGACAGTTATCCTCCAATTAGGTAATCATTGACTTATTTATCATACACAACCCCAAGCTGATACTGACGAGACAGGTATTGGAATGTATGTACCATTAATAAATCAGAAGGTTTGATTCAGGGTGGCTCTAATTGTACATAATTCTCAAAATATGTTATTGGTAATCGCTTAGAAGCTGGTACTGACGATACAGGTATTCTTCACGATTAGACAATATCAATGATATATTTCCAAGCTGAAGTAAGACAAATTCAAGAGAATCTGTGGTCTGATAATATGAAAAAAGTTGAGTTGAAAGTAAATTGAAAGCAGGTATTGAAAAAGTAATTATTGAAATAGATCATTGAATTTACGAGAACTTCATATTTTGAAATGAATGGTGGTTGGATGGGTGAAATTGTTTTATAAAACACAAAATTGACTGGAATAACGAAAATTGATCACAAATCTGAATGAACTTGATGGATTAACTATGGAGAGTTAATCTGTAGGAAGGAGCAAGGCGCCTCCACCACGTGTCGCAACTCAGATGGTTTTGGTAGATTATTTGGCAAACGGCGTGTCCACCACATGTCGCAACTCAGATGTTGCCCTCCTATGGACCGCAACTTGGCTACTCGCTTGGCTTGATGAGAGGATTTTGATCATTTTACCACCCAACCATATTCATCCCCAAATGAAGTCAAGATAGTTTTCGTATAAAATTAACATTTATTGACTTACTGGGAAAGTCGTAAATGCTTGCCACATGGCAAAGTAGCAGAGACAAACAATAGTAAATTTACCAAACGGAACACAACACAGAGAAAAACAAATCAGATAGAACAGGGAAAACAGTACTTACATTATGACATCTAACATGGGGTTGACCAGCAGGATCAAAGTCGGGAAGACGGTACACATTTTGGCAACAACTCGTGAACAAGTAACTCAATTACGGAATAAAGTAAAGTGTTATCGAAATGCATTATAATAGTAACGAAATAGTAATCAGTAATGACTTCAGTAAATGGAAAATGAGTGATCAATAATAATCAAAAATCAGTAATGAATAGTAATGAATGGCTTATCGATTCGGAATCTATTTATATTTGGAATCGATGCTAACATTGCAATTTTCCGCAATGGCAATGCTCGATACCGGGCTTAGCCCGCGTCGCAAGCTAAGCGGTTTCATGCAAATTTTACCGGAACTAGAGTCTATGAACTCCGCTTTGACCTGATCGAAACGCTGTACAAGATGTTTTAATTTGGAAAAGTTAATTTTAGGAATAAAGATCTAGAAATGAACGAAAGTTATTTCATAGACATTTGTACTTCTTGACAATATCTTGATTCTATATCTACAGAAATAGAGAATGGATAGTGGATACGTAAGGCGAATCTAATATGGTTTCATTGGATTGTTCGCGGGTGATTTCATTCAATTTCAACAATAATTTTTGAAATGTATGGAATAAATTTTTTCACTGAAACAGGCCCATTGAAAAAGAAATTATTAAAATAGATACAAAAATGTACTAAATTCTAATATCATTATTTCTAGTCCAATCATATATTCTGAGGCAAGTGCGCCTCTCTGTGCCACCTTATAAATTACAAAAATTAACTAAATATACCTATTCATGAACCGAATGAGTGTGAAGATCCTTGGAAGCTGGTGAATTTGAACCAACCTATATGATTTTGGATTTACTACACGCACAAATAAGATTCTTCCAGAGCCAAACAATACCAAAAATCCAAAATATCATTTGGTACTACTCGGAAATGGACTTTATATGGTTTTGATGAAAGTTTCTTATAAAGGGATGGTCTTAAGACCTATTACTCACCGGCACTGAGAAGAGCGGTAAAATTATAAAAATAATCTATAACCCCGAATTCGAGAAAATATAGCCTTACTCGAAAGTCCAGATTATATATGTATACCTATTTTATTTTGCCCTACTTTACGTATAATTTTGAATATTTCTTAACCTCCACCTCACCGCCATGAACACCGAGTATTTTCTAACAGGGTGGCATTTGACGCTGTGTTGAAGTATATCAACACAAAAGGACGAAATCCAGTTCATTGGTGGTGGCACAGTAGCTACCATCAACGATATCCTGAAAATCTGTGATTATAGGACATTTTGGCTTATAAAATAGCATAATACCTACCTAAAACTGCTCTCCTTCAGAAAAACTAAGATCATCCACGAGATGACAATCATTATGTGCTTGTTGAATAAGATGCTATCAAATGGCTGCTAGAACATCGTAAGATTCAAATTATATCATTACAGGTAACATTTGCGCCGACAAGCCTGATGGAACTTTTCTACCCAACCCAACTGATTGTGCAAAATATTATCGATGCGTCTTCCACGTTGCACATGGTTTCACCTGTTCCGGAAACACTTTTTGGGACCAAAGTATCCTCTCCTGTGATCATGCAGATAATGTGGACTGCCATAAAAATGTCACAATGATGGACCCTTATAGTGATATTCAATTTAGATAATGCAGGGTAGGGCGTAACTAATGGGACATGGAGTAACTACAAGTTATTGGCAATAAAATATTAGGATTGAAATCAATGCATATATGCGTTGATTGAGGTAATCCAAATAATAATCAACCTTTACTAATTTTCATTCTGATTGAAACACTTTTTGGAACTGTTGAATTATCAAGCTCTTATAGGTAATATTTTATATAACAATGATTTACTAAGGAGTTTCAGAAAAAAAAAATGACAAATTAGTATTATTCGGTATCACTCAAGCGGAGTCTTCCCATGTGATATAAGTTATAAATAAAATCATGTTCCTTTCCTGAAATAATATCCCTTTTGTCAAATATGGTGGTGTTTGTAATGAATTAATCAACAAAAATGAAGATTTTATCTCTCTCCTTGGCTTACCCATTTTTTTCTATTGTGTAATATTTTATTCTAAAATATGTCATTACCCCACCTTCTATGTATAAATATTATAAGCATATATGTACATGAAAATTTAATACAATGTATAGTTATTTTACCTACTATTTATAATATCATCCAACTGAATACGGATATCAGGATAGAAAATGTAATCGCACTAGTGCGGTAAAGTATATAACAGTGGTGTAATGAGGTACTTCACCGCACTAGTGCCCATGTTAACAGAGGTGTCCTTTCACCGTTGAGCAAGTGAACTGATTATTCGACAATTATATTTCATCAGAATATAACTCGTGATCATTAAACTAACGGAATGGAATTTGTTTCCCAAAATCTGTCAAACAGTTCTGGTGTTTTTTCCTGTACCTAACCTATGGCAATCTCGTGATTCTTGAAGACTCTGATAATTGAATATTGTTCAAAGGGCGCGGAATGGTAGTAATTTCCAGCAAGTATGAAGTTCATAGCATACAAGTGGGAAGTCCGTGTGCGAGTTATACACTATACTGTTGGGGAATACCAAATTTAGTGTACTTCGGTACCCCAATAATATTAATAAGAAAAAGTCGAAGTCCTTTCGCAACTCAATATATTAAGTTTCAGCAATCGAGTTACAGGCAATAAGTACAGCGGTTGAAGTTCTGATGGAGAATTGTCCTCGATTAGAGGGATTCAATGGTTTTTATAAACGACACATCACGTGACTTAGGCAACGCCATAAAGTAAGATAGAAATATCAAAAAATAGGACAACAATAGTTTGTGGAAATGCATACAATACCCAAGGCACATGAGGTGTCAGCATTTTGTAATATGTTTATTATAACACGAGGTAACTAGAGGTAAATACTTCGTGTATTTCTGTCTTTGGCGTACCACAAATATATCAACGATATGGTGATATTGAACTAATATGTTAGATCGTTAGCAAATACTATGTTCCTTAATATTATTGACCAAGGACAACTTGTGTGACTTTCGGCAAAATCATTGAAATCGTTAAAAGTTGTGGAAAGTGGAAATCGAATCAACGAATAAAATCTCCAGTAACTTTATTTGCAATGTTCGATTAGAAAAGTGGATAACAGCCTCCAACTTGGGTAAATACATTCAAGTAGATAACTTTGAACATAATAAGCACAGTATTGAACCAAAAAACATGTTCACTATCAAATTAGCCATATAGTTTATGATATCTAGTATTCCTAGGCTATGAAAATCGATTAATTATTAGTTATATTGAATTGATTTTATGCCTCTATCATAGAAGACTTCTATCAAACACTCAGTGATAAGAAGAGGTAGGCAATTCTTGAATTGCTGCATTTTCAGTGGGCCGTTTTTAATGTAACTAGGAGTAATTTCAGTGTCTATTGATCATTCTAGAACACTTGATTTTGACATGTTTTCTCGAGGGGCACACAAACTATCTGTTAGGTTAGCTCTGATGAGCATAGCCCTGGCCATTCCTGCCACATCCACAATATAATAACAGATTCACCAAACAAAATTATGAAATTCTTTCTGGTTCCCACTTGGATTCCAAGGAAAACGATCCCACTAATTCCGGTTTTATATGACAAATCATGACAAAATACAATGTTTGCCCCTCAGCAACCTCAAATATAATCCATTTTGTCAAAATCGTTATTGTGTAGCAGTATAATTTGACAGATCTTCATCAGTTATAATGATTCACAATTGAAGTGTTTGGTGAAGCGAGTAATACACAGTTTTCGTGAATTTTCAGAATTGTGAACCCCAAATACGGATTAGTTGGTTTTTAATTGACTGGTAGTAGTTCAAACGATTCGTATAGTATCTGCTCCTTAGATTTCAACATAGGGCGAAAATGCCAATGGTTAACTAATACTCAGAATTTTGTATGGAAGTATTTGAGCTGTTCCTGAAACGGACAGGCTACCCACATTCATCAAATAGTCGTTGACGAAATCTCGACCCATTTAGCAAACAGTAGTTGGCTTTGAAAATAATAATATTTCTGACTCGTTCAGGTTTTCAAAGAGTAAAATATTAAAAATAGGTCAACTAGTACCAAGTTGAAAGAGGATGTTGCAGTCTTGCATACCACTTACTGTATATCAGAAAATACAGAAGTGGTATTTTCCGAATTAGGTACATACCCTACCTTACTAATAGGACTTATTCGAATGGATTGCACTGACACGGTGTAGATGCGTATTTAGCAGTGCAATGATTTTGGACAGTTTTTTTGTTCTCTGAACATTATAGGGATTCCCTTTCGTACGCTCCAAGCGATAAAAAAAATATCAATTCAAATGACCCAGGGGTGGCTACCCCATTTGCCCTCATCAATCGTCATAAAAAATTCCAAGAACTCAATATGGTTTTCCATCGTAACCGTGTCAGTATGATATACAGCGTTGTCATTTCAAACGCCCCCCCTCTATATATCAGCTCTTAGTGGTGCTGTCTTTGAAAAATTTATACCAATATGAATAACCATCAATTTGATCAGTTTTTTAGAGGCAAACATCATTTTAGACAGTTCTGTGCGTTTATATTGAAATGAAAAAGGGGTCAATTTTATATGAAATCATATTAGGAATTTTTACAGGATAACTGACCCCATGATTTTGTTCTTCGTGATTTCAAACCCTCATATTTACATTTTCATATGTTTCCTATGCAGGATGTCAAAATAACAGGCACATCTAAACAGCATTTTTATGAATGTAATAGTTATTTACTCAGTAACGGTGAGTTCAACATAAAATAGAAGATCTCGATTCTTCTTTCAATTCATGATTTTTTACCTACCGGAGGTATTGAACGTTCAAAAATTTGCAGTTAATTTGAAAAAATTGAAAAATTAAGCCAATCCTGTTGATTCGGAATGAGGTGATTTTTTGCATATGGAGGTTCGAAAGCATGAGGAACAACAATATGAAAAAAATCCTTACATGATATAATAAAAATCGACCCCATTTTAATTCAATAAAAATGCCCTGTGTACACGTGTATGTCGACTGAATTTATTTCAAAATAACTATGATACTCTTGCTAAGAGACGAAAAATTTGGCAATAACTTGCATGGTAGGTCAACGGTGCCTATTCGTATAATCAATCAGCGCAAAAATTCGCAGATTTTTCTTGATTGGACCTATATGTGTAACTGTTAAGATACCCAAATTCCTATACAAAGGCTCGAAAATCGGTGTATGAAAGGAAAATTAAATGACTTCATTTTGAAAACGCGGCAAAGCCAAGTTAGGCAACACTTGAAATGCCTGAAAAACATTGGTTTCATGATGGAAATATAATATGGTGTGCTATTCAGGTATCTTAAATTCGTCGTTTCTGCGCATAACGTCATTGCGGGTCTATTCTCGCACCAAAATGATCACGGCGACTCGGGTGAACTGATAACTGTGAGCTCAGACTGCGAACAATTGTTTTACTCGCAGTGACGTATACGAAGATGCGTCGTTGCACATCATACTATAATTCCACCATGATTGGTTGGTGACTAATAATAATTATTCATTATACAAGGGAAAAAGCAGCTACATTCTTGGACCAAAGCTCAGTAGTGGATGACAATTTGTGAAAATGTGAAGAAATTAGCAGTGGCATGCCCAGGATTTTCTCCTGCGGGGAAGGGGGGGTTATCAGTCCCAATGAGCTAGATACTTGAAAATCTGAAATTTGCCGCATGACGTCATCAAAGTATATGAAATCAATTCTATAATGCCATTCACATAACCATAAGAAGCAGAAAATGAGAAAAATATTTTTTTAATGTACGATCCTGCAAATTTGTTCTTGGCAACTTTTGATAGTTATTAAAATACTTGTAGAATTGGAAACAAAAATCATGGAGCAATGTTATACATAATTATGAAGAGTATAGAGAGTAGCTATCAATGCAGGAAATCAATTATTGGTTCACATTATTGGCGGTGCAATAAAATCAATATCTAGCTATTAATGCATCAATTATCTGCTACATGCGACCCAGATAAAAAAATGTTGCCATACAGAGTATTGTTTTCGGAATAAAAGAAGTTTTCTGTTATTCCTCAAGACTGACATGAATTCCGATCTTGATTTTCATTTAGTTTCGATGGGTAATATATGAATAGAATATTTCTACCACGCATGAATAAATCATACATAGTGATTCAAAAGTTATGACCAGATGAAGATTGTGCCAAAATCAAGATAACATGCTGTATCTCAGTTATAAAAGACGGTAGACACATCAATGGGAAAAAGTACTCACTTTTTTCCGTGGGAAAAAGTAATTTATGAAAGTGACAGTTTATAACCTGTCGAAAGAGATTAAATGTCATACTGGTCTACTGAAAACAAAAGAGAATGCAATTTCAATAAATAAAGAATGTATTATTTGTTACATTATTCTCGCATTCATACATAATATGTGCGTACAAATCACGCTTTTACACATTGAGTACGTACAGAATACTACAGACTGTCATTGAATGATTCGAATGACATAATCAGTCTTTCATGAACTCCAATCAACGTGTTCTTGTTACATGTGTAGGATTCATAAAAATACATGTTTACCTTCACGGTCGATCGAAGGAATATGACTGTTGCTAACTGCTGGACAACTTCTGGATGTTTTCTATTCTTGAAATTTGTTCTTCTATTTTTGCAATCTACAAAAAAAAACACAAGAATCGATATCAAGATTACCGTACATATCACGGGGTCAGGCGGGAGTCCTGGAACGGTCAAATATTCCGGAAATTTTTCATCGGGTTCTTTAAAAGGTGAATATTAATGTTGTTCCAAAATCCAGTATCAAGCTTTGGGCTTATTTTTCAGGTTGAAATAGGACTTTTTTTCAGAAACATCAGTCCGTAAACGTTTCATTACCGATAAACAGAGCGCTGTTGTGTGGAAAAGGATTATACTCAGATATATCATAAACATGAATAAATTTGATAAGTTCATATAAAGAAATACATTGAGAATTCGCATTATTCTCTATCTGATAAAAATATGTTTTTTTTTTTCGTTATATCCAATAGAAAATAACTACTTTCCTGGCTATATTATGCCACGACAAACATTGAATTACATCTATTGAACACACACGAAACGATCTCAACATTCGATTTTCGAATTGGACACCTTGTATTACATTCCGTAATTGGTTAAGGATTATCATAACGAATTCATAAAAGAAAGTTTCCCACATGAATTAAAACATGCATCAACTATAGACCAATAGCTTTAATAAGCATATTTTCTAGAATTTTTGAAAAAATTCTCAAGAAACGAATTGTAGAATTTATCAACAAAAAATATAGCTTTGATTCTAATCAATTTGGTTTTCAAGAAAACAGTGGAACATAAGCGCAGCAGTACTACAAGTGATAGAATCAATCCAGAGAGGACTCGATTCAGGATATTATGTGGTACCTAGCTGTTTCCATTGATCTCAAAAAGGCTTTTGACACAGTTGATCATACAACACTTTTAGAAAACTTAGAAACAATGGGACTAAGAGGCACTGTGAGAAATATTTTGAATTCATATCTTGAAAATAGGACAATCAATACAAAATCAAACAACTCTGTGTCAAATAAACTATTAATCAATAAGGGTGTCCCACAAGGCTCTGTTTTAGGACCTATACTATATTTACTTTATGTTCAAAATATCAGTGAAATTGGTCTAGCGTGTAAATATGCCATGTATGCAGATGATACAGTACTTTTATATGAAGGCAAGAATCCTTCAAATTTAAAAAATATGATAAATGAAGACTTGAAAATATTTGAAAAATGGCTCCAATCTAACCTTTTATCGATAAATACTAACAAAACAGAATATATGATTTTTCACCAAAGAAATAAACAAAAAATTTACCTCAACCTTAAAATAAAGAATGAACTCTTGAAACAAACTGACCAGATAAAATATCTTGGTATTTGGTTTGATGACAGGTTGGAGTGGGACAAACATATTGATATTCTGACAAAAAAAATACCTCAAATTATTGGTGCATTGAGAAGATGTCCCAAACTTGATAATAAAATTGCAAACATGATTCTCTACTCTCATATTCTGAGTCGTATCAACTATTTAATAAATGTTTGGGGATCTTGTTCAAAAAATAATTTCAATAAAATATCAACATTACATAGAAAATCGTTTAAAAGTATTGTATCGTCTCCCATTTGATACACCAACCAATCAATTGTATGGAATAACATATATGTATTCTTTAGATGGAATATATAGAATTGAAACACTTAAAATATCAAATGATATCATAAATAAAAAATTTGAGTCGAATATTATTTTGATTTTTTATTCTGACATTCATAATCATGAAACTAGACAATATAACTTGTGTCATCTTAACGCAGCTAGCTCCATAATCTGACAAAAAAGATTCACTCATTCAGCCTTAACTGAATTCAATAAACTACCTGATGATATAAAAAATATAGGTACATTCAAAAATGAAGTAAAAAAACTGATTATTTCTGAGCGAACTGGATAAAATTAATCATGCCAGTTTACCTATAGGTATATAATTATGTACTTCCTTATACCAGAGCCTATTCTGTCTGGAAGTTATTTGTTTAATAAATAAATAAATAAAAAAAAATAAAATTCAAGGACACCAAGTTTGTTAGGGTTATTTTCGACGATTCCAAAGATATTCGCGTTCGAAATTTCTATATGCTCAATGAGTGTGACAAAGAGAAGATTCGATGTTGCACATGCTATATTCCGAATTCAACTGGTCTGTACTGTCAGTAAATCCGAAATGTAAAATCAAAAATACAGTGCTGTAATTCGGAATACGTTTTCATGGTTTTCATCAGTAATTAGCAGGAGTTGATCAGCTGGTGAAATTTGAATATTATTCTCAGCGTCAATTATTTCAGTAACAAGCACTATTATTAATTTATTATTGATAAAACAATACTTAATTTCCAAAATAAACAACGTAAATAAATGTGAAATTACTTCTCCCTCTAAAATAATGGCAGTTTACTGAAGCCACACTACCTTTTGATAGACAGCGATTTCAGCGGAAGAGAAGAGTCTAAATATTGGGAATGAATAGTATGTCTGCTCACAAGTATCTGTCACCTGATGAATACGTTGACACCAGGCATGCGGTGGAGCTTCGTTTACGATTTACAGAGTGTAGACGCCTAGGATTTATTATGTGTTTTTTCAAGTTTTCTCCTACAATTTTCATAATAATGAAGTCTTAATGAAAACCTCAATATTTGGAGCTGATAACCTACAAGCAACTACATATTTTGGGGTTGTACATACTCAATTCAACCCTCTCGAACTTGATTGCAGCCTCTGCTTTCAATGAGCATTTATATCCTCCCTGTCATTGGAATACTTCCTGCCCTTCTGAATGATTTTTGAAAACTGTTTGGATTTCGAGATAATTGCAAAAACAATTTACTTGTAATAAAATACACACTCTATTTGACATTTCTGGAATGACTAGAAGACCTCTGATACAGGCAAATGGTAGTTTTACCTTGCAAAAAATGCAGTTGTCGGTTTAATTATCGTTTTCTATGTTTATGGGGTGCTGAATCCGAATCTGTTATTATTGAGAACAAATTCCTGGTGTTTTGAGATAGACGCCAATGGTAAATGAAACTGTTGACTATGCCAAGTAGGTATTCGAGTTATCTAACAATCACTAATAATATTTGAAGAAAATCGCATCAATAATAACAGAGATTTCAGGGTGATTTAATAAAAATGCTGATAATAAATCTCATAGTAGAAGTTATCAAAAATCCTAATACCTAATACCCTTTTTCCAAATGAAGGCCATTTTTACACCCCTTAACATCGCACGCCAATGGTGAATAAAATATTTACTTATAGCCAAATACTTCAGTGTTCTAAGAACATACATATTCATAATATGGAGATGTCTATAGGCACTAGGTAGGTAATTAATAATTTCACGATCCGACTATTCCTGAATTTTGAATACAATAATTGATAAAGGTACCTACATACAATTTTATTTTGAAATACAGTTGATATGACTACTCACCTTCTTCGAATGCACTTCTTGTGCTTCTGAAGATGCGTTCATTTTGTAAGTACTTCCACAAGTCATTTTTCTCAATTTTTCTAACTGTCTGAACAATTTTTCTTTTTTAATTTCCATTTTCGGAAAGTCTATCTCGATAGCCCTCTTGATGTCTTCCGGAACTGCGAGGCAGATGGTAGTTCTTCCAACCGTATCTTTGATTTCATCGCTAGAAACCATGTTTAGATTCTCTCCTAGAATGTTTACCTCATGGCAGGCAGATAAGTCCATTATCGTTTCGGAATAACTACCCAAAGAAGGAAGGGAAGTGAAAATGCGAACTGAAAATACGAAAAACTTAACATACAAGCTGATATTTGGAGATTTTGGTTGTTGTACTATTGACGACACGAAAATTCTATTGCACGACTCTAGTGGCAGAATTTTCAATCAGCAAGCTGCAATCAAATAATTTTATGTTTGGTGATATCACATAACCTTAGTTCATGACATTCACGAATACATTGTGTCCACCTTAAGGACTTACCACCCCTGTAAAATTGTTATTATCTGACCGATTTCAAAAAACTTTTTTTTATTGGATAGGTATTTGAAATGTCCATCCAACAAGAGAGTGATTTTACTCATGAACTGTAATCGTGGCCAACTGCGACCAACTTTATTGACCCATATTTGAGAAAGTACTATTAGGGATTTTTTTACACAAAAAACAATGATGGATTCTGAATCACGATCACTTGAAAAACACCTTTACTGATTTTTATCATCGTAAAACACAGGGTGTCCGATAGAACGAATTTTTTTTAAAAGGTGGTCAGAAAATGTAGTATTGTGGTATTTTTGAGAAGTATTGATAACACATTATTATTGAGGATCACTTTGAACATATCTATACCGATTTTCATCATTCAAAAATACGATGTGTATGAGAAAACAATTAAAAAGAAAAAGTAGGCAATATTTTTTCATCAACTCAAAAAAAATATTGATTTGATTTTTCGAACACCCTGTGTTTAATGATGATTCAAATCGGTACAGGTATGTTCCAAGTGATCCTGATTCATCTTTTTATTTTGAGTGAAGAATTATCAGGATTAAAAATATTGCTTGCCTATCCTTTTTAATTTTTTTCTCAGACACATTGTACATTCAAATGGCGAAAATTGGTACAGGTATATTTGAAATAATCCTCAATGATGATTTGTGATTATTTCTTTCTAGAAAAACCACAGAACTACAATTGCTGATCACCTATTTGAAGAAAATGATGATTCGTTTTTTCGGACACCCTGTGTTTTATGATAATGAAAATCGGTACAGATATATTTCAAGTGGTACTGATTCAGAATACATCATCAAGTTTCGTGAAAAAAAATCCCTAATAGTACTTTCACCATGGCCACGATAACAGGCCAAGAATTAGATCACTCTCTCGATGGATGGGCATTTCAAATACCTATCCAACAAAGAGAGGTTTTTAGAAATTTGTCGGATAATAACGATTTTACAGGGGTGGTAAGTCCTTAAGGTGGACACACTGTAGACTTTCCTCACAAAACATGAAGTTTCATCCTTAGCTTGTTTTGCCACTAGAGGCGCGCATGTATTCATTACGTCGCCAATGGGCTGTTTTCAATTTCCTGGCAAATTGTTCAGCACTATCCCGATGGCGATTTTACTAAATATACTGCACGCTAGCACAAACCACGCCCACCATAATACGTCATATCTCCAAACATTACCGATATACTCGGAGTCAGCACATCGCACTAAATAATATACTGTGCTTCAACGCAAGAATACACTTTTTATGATTTTGAAACGAATTCGACTGAAGCTCTCTCGTTGTCAATCTCTTGTACGCAGTGAATTCATATACCCAAATGGTCTAATGGTTAGCGCTGTCGACTTTCAGTCTGAAGGTCCATGGTTCCAATCGCTGTGAACTTGAACTTTTTTTTGCAACTTTTTTTTTTCACCAATGCTTTTTTACTTCATTCTGGTTCTCCTTTTTCAGAAAATATTTGAAGTCAAATAGGTTAGTGCGTTTAGGATAAACAGTTCAATTTTGTTGAAGAACTTAACTTTTGAAATATATTATTAATCAATATGTTTCTACACTATAATCTGGTTTTCTTTCCTCAAAAATATTGCAATCAGGGATAGGTTAGTTCGTTAAGGATAAATAGACTCTGAGTTTTGCCTAAGTACTTCAAAGATGAGATATTACGGTGGGCGTGGTTTGTGCTAGCGTACAGTTTTCTGCACTGGTTATGTCGCCACTATCTTACGACTAGCCGCCTGGTAGCTTCATCTTCAATGAATTTGGCAACATTGAATGCGCCATACCTCCGTATGCCTCCGTCCTCCGTTCCTACGAGTCTTATCGCACAACAGAATAGGATAAGTTTTTATATTCATTCTCATTTTGTGATTCATTCATCGAATGAAAAGAGTTGAGAGTGGATTTTGTAGCTGTGTCGATGATCGTGATAGAAATGATCGTATAATGAATAGAAAATTTTTACAGACATCAAAATATTCAATACACACGCTGAATTGTTTTGTCATAGGTAACTAACATTGATGGCATATCGTAACCGGTAAATGATTCGAAGTTGGTTGAACCTTACAAAAGTGCCTATTCTAGGGTCTAACAAAATGATGTAGTGATCAGAAATATCAGACGCCGTTTTAGAAATATACGGGGATAACGGAAATTTGAAGCTTCGTGTTTTTGCTACTGTAAGAGTTTTCTTTATTCTGAAATTAGACACTCATAGACAAAAATATTGCACATTCTTCAATTTCACATTTTTTTCTAATGTTCCATTTACTCAACTTTCTTTAAGACAATTGATGAAAAATATATTACAGAAAAGGACTTTACACGCTGACTGATACAAAATGCCCCAAGCTACTATTTTGATGAACAAAAAAGTAAATGAAATGAAAATATTAGATAACCTACTTTGGGGAAGCAACTATTATAATCTCGTCTCAATGTTTATTTTTATTCAAATGGTCACATAATATATCTTCTTTGAATTGTTTCTGATAATTTGGTTTCTAAATTCAGTGATGTATAACAAGTATAGCCTTCTGCGGAAAATTATTCAGCGGAAAATAATTAGGCTTATTATTATTAGACTGAGAGATGCCAAAAAAAGGAAGGAACGGTGGCCAATGTGAGCAATATTAGTTTCCTGAAGTATAGTTCTCAGTAGTTATATAAATGATGAATAATTATCATAACATCAATGTTTATACTCGTGTTATTGTAAATGATGAATGTGAATCACGAACTGTTTGACAGACTTCGGAAACATGCATATTGCATACTGCGGGTTTCTTGTTAGAGGAGCATCTTAAGTAAGTATTGTTCCTAATTTTGCGCTGGAGTCAACTTATTGTTACATCACTGAATCCAGGAAAAAATCTCTATCTGAAACAATTTGAAAAAAAAAGTAGAAAAGAAGTATGTTAAACAAAGACAGTCGCTGTGATTATGTTTGAACTTGGAGAAAACAATTATTCGTTTTTTGAAAGTCAGCCTGTATAACGTATTTTCATGTATAGAAGATAGAACTATATTTTACGAACGAATTCAATTTACCATGCAATAATCTTGCCTAAGGATGAATTTTTTATGAAGGCAGGTGAAAATGATACGAATTATTGAATTTTCACAAGAATTTTATTCTGAAAAATGATACTTCCCAGCGGGTGATGATGAAATATGTATGAACCTGATGAAAATGTGTTGATTGATCATTGATTCATTTTCAAAATCAGACTTCATTTGATGCAAAACACAATGACTTTCTGAAGTATTTTATTATATCAAATCGTCTGGGTGTCACAGAGCTTTTAGTTCAGGCCAGCAGATATCTGGGTTTTCTCACCCAAAAAAAAATTAATCAACAATAATTGTTGGCTCTTATTCAAGGAATAACCTAAATTGACAGTATAACTAGTTTGCACATTTATAATCAAATTTTCTCAAAATTTTGATTATAACTCTGATAAAAATTTCGATATTGATTGGGAATGAAAAGTTTTTTAAGATTAACCGTCAAAAATCATTGCGGGTGAGGTAATCTGAAAAATCAAACTTGGGTTTGGTTACTATAGTTGATTTTTCGAGAGAAAAATGATTTGAATTTATTAAATATGTCATAATTTTTATTGCATATTTTTGTATGGGTGTATGGGATGACCCAGATACCAGCTGACCTAAAAGTTTCTGAGACACAATAAATGTTTATAGTGTTTATTGATAATGATTATAATCATCCATGTGTCATACACCTGATAATTTCTGGTATAGGTAGGTGATTCTTGCAATTTTTATTAACAATATTCAATTCATATTCGGTCCTTTAATAGCAGCCCTTCTTCATATAGTGGAGTTCAAAAATACATACAGTATTTAACGGGGAGAGAGTGGTATACACAAAAAAAAACTCAGTTCATCGGTCAGACAATATTGTAATGTTGGATAGAAAATTTATGGGAAACATAATACCTACCACAATAATAAATATTATACGATTTGAAGAGGAAGCTTTCGAATTCGTTAATAAAACTGATATAATAAGATTAAATCTGGAAAACAAGAACCAGAAAATTTTTCTCACAAGATATTTATTGGCCGAATTCAGATGTGTTATAGATATACCTATACTCACATAGTGAATCAGACGAAGAAATAAAAAATATAATTCCTATTCAAATATGAAAAATAATTTCACAGGAATGAGTATATTTATTACATGAACTGAAGCAGTTTGATATTCACATACCTAACATAATGGTATACCTGAATAAGAAAAAAATATCACATGAACTGAGAAAGTTTGAGAATCACATACCTACCGAACATAACGGTCTACCTAAATACGAAAAAAATTTCACATATCAAAAGGAATAACAAAAAAAATAATCAAAATGGTTTCCTTCCATATTGATGCTATCACATGATCATTATTTGGCTAGCGTTGTTCAACATACACATTCAATCAGAAGAATCCAACAAGTAACAGGTGTCCAACCATGATTCATTGCCACGTGTTCTCATGTTCAAGAGACACGAATTGTATATTCTTGGTTGAATATTATAATGTTCACGAGGCTATCAATCATTGTTGAAGACCCTGTATATTACATCTCGTTATCAGAATTTATGCATCAAAACACACATTTGAAAACTTCAAAATGGCCTTTTTACTATCCAATAAACACGAACAAGGAAGGAACAGAAATCATACTGACTCTCATTGAATTGTCAAGCAAGTATTCGAGAACAACAATAAGATAATAAGAATATCAGGCTGACTTTGATGAGCTCTCACATTGCTCACGATAATACATACAGGGCGATTAATTTTTTCTTGAAAATATGCAATATGGCTGTTAGATCCTCGAGAAATAAAAAGGTCATACTAGTTTATATACCTCGCAAAAAGGGTTAGGGCGTTGAACTGCATTTGGACGATACCTAGGTATGGTTTATTCACGATATCTCAGTAGTATAGGTCAAAAATGCTACCAATCTGAACCATGTCTTTTTTTTTTTGGCCATTGAATATCAACTCTCATAATCAATGCAAAAACGAAACACATTGGCGTCCGGTAACTGAAGGGTTCATATAACGAATTCAATTGCATAACCTATCCTTTATTCTGATGAAATTACGGCGAGAATTTTCAAGAATTCAATGAATTGAAGAAAACATATGCATATTATTCTATGCCGTGAAATTCATTATGTGAGCCCTTTTGCCGATACTACTGTGTAAAGTGATGCAATAATTATAGTAATTTATTTGTTTTCAAATCAGGATATGGTCCAAGTTGAAAGAATTTATGGCATACATAATATATTATTATACTTATTGAGATATCAAGAAAAAACTATAATGCCCCAATGCACTTCAGCGTCCTGAATATATTTCACGGAGATATAATTATTATAATATCACTCATTTCATATTATTTTCGAAAAAAGTAATACTCATACCCATAACAATGAATTTAGGAAGATCAATGATAATTCATGGATGAAATTGATGAAAAATGAGAAAAAATATAAAGTTGTAAATGATGAATAGATGATAAATTAAAAATGCACCCCAAAAAATTAAAAAAAGCACGAGAAAAAATTGGATAACATTACCCCCCAGGAAGAAAAACAAATACCAACAAAATATCCTTCTTGAGGAGAATACGTCGAAAGACAACTCTGCAAAAAAATTGAAAAATATCAAAAATTATACATTTTATATCCAACCATATCAATATTTCTGTGTAAATATGTTTCTCATAGGTTGAAAGTAAATATATCAAACCATATAGTCTGATTTGTCTCGAGATTAAGTTTGCACCTCGGTCAACTAGGTATCTCATTCGTCAACAGTATGACGAGATATTTTTCACCTGGGTATGTAATATGCTATTCCTCAACACCTGAGAATCAGCTCTCAATGACTTTCATGATCAATTAAAAGAAGAAACAAAATATAGACAATTTGAGATAAAGTATGATGTTTACTTGTTAAGTCTTATAATTTCAAATTGAAATAGAAAAAGTTCAAGAAATCGAACTGTTTCGGATGTTTCTTACCAATCAATATTTAGTATATTTCCCATTTGCATCTATACATTCTTGCAGTCGATTCGCCATGCTGTCAACCATATTTTGACAAATTTGAGTGCCCCTCAGCCTCTCCCATGTCCTACGACAATGGCGGTCTAGTTCATCTTTTGTTCTCGGATGATTTTCTTCGTTGTCCTGTCGCCATTGCCTAATCATTATGCCCCACAGATTTTCGATCGGATTCAGGTCAGGCGATTTGGCTGGCCATGGAATTTGTTCAAAATTCTCGTTTTCTTCCAAGTATTCACGAACTACCCTAGCAGAATGAATTGGTGAATTATCATGAATTAATGTTACGTTTCGTGTATCTGGATATAAAATTCTGAAACTTGGCAATAAACTATTTTCTAGAATATCAACATATCCCATGGCATTCAACCTTCCAGGAATTTCTACCAATTCGCCTGGCCCATCACTGGTCATCCAGCCCCAGTATCCCAAACTTATTCTACCGCTACGCCGATTTGGTATCACATGTTCAGACTCGAATCGTGTATTGTTTGGTCTCCATAGGGGAGGAGCGAAATCATCCTCGGTGGAGAATACTTTCTCGTCACAAAAAACAATACCGTTCCAGTTTCTATTTAAATTTTCGTGGCAAAACTGTAATCTTTGCTGGCAATGGCGTTCAGTCAACATTATTTTCGTTGCCGGTCTACGATGATGAATACTTCCTTTAATCAACCTTCTTCGAATTGTCGCAATCGAACAATTCAAGTTCAAGTCACTTTTGACTTTTGATGTTGAAATAAAAGGATGGTCTCTAACATAGTTTACTATTCTTTGGTCCTCTTCTTCATTTGTGCAGGTATTTTTACCTCGCCCTGGTAAGTTTTCCAAGGTTTCCTCCTCATTGTTCCGACGAATCCACCTTTGAACTTGTCTCACCTATTAATAACGCAATTTCATTATCAATATTAAGCTGACAACAATAACAACCCTGCTCTTTCTTTTCTTTCTCTTGAATTTTTTGACGTCCTTCGTTAGATAAATATTCAAATCGATAATTTAATTATTGTCGTGATCATTATCATCAGCATTAGCATTAGCATTAGCATTAGCATTAGCATTAGCATTAGCATTAGCATTAGCATTAGCATTAGCATTAGCATTATTAGCATTATTAGCATTAGCATTCGCATTAGAATTAGCATAAGCATTAGGTAATATCATCATTAGCATATATAAGCATCAGTATTAGCATTCGCATTGACATTAGCATATAGAACCTCCAAAAGTTCAAAAAAAATTCAACACCCACCTTCTCTCCCTATCCCCCTAGGTTACGCACGATGTTCTTCGAACATCATAGGAACTTCCTTTCGTGCGCTCCAAGAGATAAAAAAGTAAATATTGGAAATGCAATATCTTTCGTTAGCTCATAATCATAATTTTATTTACCGATAAATGAAAATCTCTTGCAATATCACGAGTTCTGGCTCCCATTTCATGCATGGTAACAATACGGGCTCTAGTTTCCACCGAAGTCTCGCGCTGATTTGGAAGTCTCGGCATGATAATAATTAATACACACTTATAATCAATGAACAAAATACTAATCACATTTGATGACCATTCAAATAATAATCCTTTGAAAAACAAGCTCTGAATCAACAATACATCAGTTACATCACCACAAAAAAATGAACTCAGGAAACCAAAGATACAAGAAATACGAACAGCGAACAGCTACGGCACTTCGGCACTACGCACACCTCGTCTAGCAGTCGTCGACACAATGTTGCCAAATCAACTCTCTGGCATACGAATCTACTGAAACGACTAGCGCTTTCGCCAACACGTAGCGTCATTTCATTTGAAGAAAACTGTACAGTATATTTAGTAAAATCGCATCCCGATGATACTAACAAATACTACTAACCTTTTGGTTCATGCTTTGCTGTTACATTGAGAATTTTCTTCAATCTTCTTATGGCGATGACAACGTCCATCATGTCATTGATATCTTGTTCTAGACTCTCATCACGCCAATTCAAATCCTAATGGAAAAACAACTATACATGCGAATGATCGAGTTTGAATGGAATCGATGATTAGTTAGTAGGAATAACTCGAAACCATTTGAAAAATTCAGGAACATATTCTTTAGAAATACAAAAACCTCTAATATTTGAAACATAACAATTTGTGATTACAATATATTAATAACATTATGGCCAATCATTATTTTCTGAAATATTAGTATCCTTCAGTAGTTCCATAAGATAAGAATAAGAGTATAATTTCAATAAAAGTGTAGTGAGGACAAATCAGATGATTTGCCCCAAAAAGTCACTGTGTTAAAAAATGTTCCTGTCAGAGAGCCTAGAAGAAGAATTCATTCGCTTTTCAGTGACACTTTGCTCTGGAATAATACTATTTTTTTTTTTTATAGAAACGAGGAGAAAATCCCAAAACATCTGGAACTTATCTCTGCTTCGATTGACCTACAGATATTAAACCTATCCTTTTTCACAAAAAATGCAAATTGAATCGTGACATTAAATATGTCGAGTATTGAGTACTGGGCTACAATGTTTATCCGTTCATGCTATTTTCAATTGAAAGAATCGATAAAATTTGTTTTCAAGGTTGGTAACCTCAAACTGTCTGGTAAACCACATTACTTAACAACTGAAATATGTATAGGCTGAATCTCCCAGAACAATAATTTCATATGAATTTTTTTATTTCATTTTCACATTTCTAAAATATTCAGGTTCTCAAGGCCTACTATTGTTTGTTCAAGGAGTAAAAATTTCGAAAAAGACAAAAAGGCTTTTTTAGAAAAAGGGGATAGCCAACTAACACCCTATATGTGGTATTGCGTTAAAATTTTGTAGGGGGGTATTTCAACTAAGCCTGATTCCAATGAATAGGCATTCTACTTTTTCGGAAAAAAATGCCTAATGGTTTTTTTCATCAAAAATAGTAGGCCTAAAGAATTTGAATATTTCAGATAATGTCCACATTTTCGACGAGAACTCGTACCGTACTCGAGTACCTACTATATAATGGAATTTTCGTTTTGGGAAATCGGTCAACGGGTTTCAAATTAGAAGGGTGTTGCGGGTTGGAATCGCACACACTGTATATAGTTGCAGAAACATTGCAATCAGTTCGGAGTAACATTCAGTATGCATCGTATTTTCAACAGAGAAATAGTAGTTGAACATTGATTTGTCAGGACAATACTATCTCTCATCGTACGCGAAAGCAGACCTGTGGTAAAGTGCTCCAGCTGATTCATTAATAACGTTTGATATAATCGATACTTACTATTCAAAATTGTACAGTGGAAGTGAATCATAACTAGAGATCTTAGAGTACAACTATCAGAAGTGACAATCATAACAAGGTGGGATTAGTATTAATATAATTATTCAGAAACTGGCAAATATTATCATTTCGCTGGGCATTCCATATTCGCAGAACGACGCGATAAAGAAATAGATAAAACGACGTGCTAAAGAAATAGATAAAAACTATCACGAAGAACTCGACATATTAGTACAGGTGCTTAATAGCGCAGTATATTGAAGCATGTCTGAAAAAGCATTTGCCGATATACAAGAGCTACTCATAAAACTAGACAAAAAATCGGACGAACACCAAAAAACGTTGTCTGAAGTCAAAAAGGAAATTTGTTCATTTAATATCCGCCTGTCCGCATTGGAGGACGAGAACACCAAATTGAAAAACCAAGTTACGGGGTTAGACACCAAACTACGTAAAAACAATATTTTGATTTCCGGATTGCCTGTTTCTGAAACGGATCAAGCGCTGAAGTATCTGAATGATACTTTAGGCACTGAAGTGACTTTTCTGGACCTCAACAATATTTTCTTCTTACCAAATAAGGCTGGCCAGCGGCAGTTACTAAAAATTGAATTCCTTTCCTATTTAGCTAAAGCTAAGGTTTTGAGCAACGTCACCAAACTAAAGGGATCAAATGTGTCAATTTTTGATGATCTAAGTCCGGAGAATCAAATTATCAATAAATCGTTACGATCATACCTCAAAACAGCTAAGAGCAAAGGGCTGAAAGCAACGATAAGGAATAATCACCTTGTGATTAACAACGAGAAATATACTCTCCAGCAGTTGTCATCAGAACCAGGCTTGTTGGATGCTGTTCGCATTAGTGAAGAAGCAGCTGTGGCAGATAGCAGAAAAAGAAAAGAAATTAGCTCTCCTATAATCTCACTTTCAAAGAAGCCATCAAGAGAAAATCCTCCTAGAACCGCTAAAAGTTCTTGTTCATCTTGAACTTAATATATTGTTTGTATTGATTATCACTCAGTAATTGTACTATTATTATCGTTATTGTTATCACTATCATCTCTCCTTTTCTCATCTTACTTCTATTTTCCTTGTTAGGTCCCTGTCTCTGAGTTATAACCCTTTGTAGTTTTTCCATAGAATATAATCTCTTGTATTCATAATGCGAAAATTATCTGTTTGTCATATTAATACTAGATCACTAACAAATAAATTTGCAGATTTCAAAGATAAAACCCATAACAAGTATGACATCATTACAATATCTGAAACTTGGCTCAATGAAGGTATTTTGACAGAAAGTGTTGCCTTACAAGGATATAATATGATGAGGAAAGATAGGTCCAGTCGCGGTGGTGGTGTGGCTGTGTATGCTAAAAGTTTTTTGAAAACAGAAATTCTTAATATACCCAACATGAATAATATCATTTCTGAACAACTATGGATCAAATTCAAACATGAGAAGGATACATATGCAATTGGATGCATATATAGGCCCCCTAATACCTCTTCCTTGGATTTTATTTCTGAGCTAGACGACTGTTTTTCATTTGTGATGCCAAAATTCGACTACGTCATCTGCACTGGAGATGTGAATATTGATCTTCTCGATCATCTCAATCATTCAACTATCCGTCTTGAAAATCTCTTGAATTCATATAGCCTCAAACAATTAGTAAATGAACCAACTAGATATATGGATCCACCAGTTGTAAATTATTGGATCTGATAATATGCTCTGATAATTTAACTGCAAGCGACTGTACTATTATTGACTGCTCTTCTTTTTCGGATCACTGTCTAGTTTCTTTCAAGATCAAATTCATAGAACCTAATATAGCTAGCAGAATGTGTACATTTAGAGATTTTAAGTATTTCAAATCTAATGGGTTTCTTTCTGATCTTTCATTATGCAATTTTCAGCAAATCTACGAAACAGATGATATAGACGAAAAAATTGAGTTATTGAACTACTATTTGTTAAAAACATTTGATGCACACGCTCCGATGCGTACTATAAAAATTACTAAAAAGAAGTCACCGTGGTTGACAGATAATCTCAAATTCATGATGAATTTGAGAGATCGAGCACTAGGTCGATACAAAAAGACGAAAAACGAGCACCATTGGCAATATTATAAAGATCTACGGAACCTTGTAAATCGAACAGTTGTATTAGAAAAAACAGCATATGTCGAACATCGTCTGAAAAAAAATAAAAAAACCATTTGGAAAGATTTATCAGATATGAATATACATAATAATAAGAGTATGAAAATAATTATCCCTGAGCACATCAACAACGTTAGTGAAATTAACGACTTTTTTACTGCTATTTCGAATGAAAATTCATCGCCTGATGATGATTTACAAAATTTTTTCTCTTGCAATATTGAAAATGATTCAATTAACTCGTTTGACTTCTCAAGTACTTCTGAAAATGAAATATATGATTTCTTATTAGGAATAAAATCAGATGCTACCGGCCCAGACGGTATAAGTATTAGGATGCTTTTGTATTGTTGCCCATTCATTCTACCTCTGATCGTTCATATTTTCAATTTCTGTATTCTGAATAGTGTTTACCCTGCGTTATGGAAGAAATCATACGTGATACCATTAGCCAAAAACTCAAACCCTCAAGAATTTAGTGACCTTCGACCTATTAGCATTTTATGTGCTCTGTCTAAGGTATTCGAGAAAGTAATCAATAAACAAATCAAGGAATATGTCGAAGCCCACAACATATTACCCAACTGTCAATCTGGATTTAGAAAAGATTTCAGCTGCACTACTGCACTTTTAAAGGTGGTTGATGATTTTCATACAGCTTCAGATAATAATTCCTTATGTATCCTCGTTCTCTTAGACTATTCAAAGGCTTTCGACAGAATAAATCATGGAATGTTATTGAGTCTTTTACACTACCTCGGGTTTTCAAATAACTCTATAAATCTAATTAAAAATTATCTTTGTCTCAGATCACAATGCGTTACCCTCAATAATATCAAATCTGAATTTAAAACGATTGAAAATGGTGTGCCACAAGGATCAATTATAGGACCACTGGTATTCACATTGTACACATCGCAATTTCCAAGTTGTTTAAATCATACTTCAATACACACGTATGCAGATGACACCCAACTTTATATGGTTTTTACAAAAAATGAACTGAATCAAGCATGTACAAGAATAAGTCAAGATATAGAGTCACTATTATTGCTTTCTAGAAAATATTGCCTCACTATTAACCCTACAAAATCCTGTGTAATGGTTTTCGGTCGTCCGTCAGCAAAGAAGCTTTGTAATAATAATAATATCAACATACTAGTCGATGGGGTGAAACTACCTTTGAAGGATGAAGTGAAAAATTTGGGTCTGATGTTGGATAGCTCATTAAGATTCTCTGGACATGTTTCGAACATTTTAAAAAAAGGATACAGCAGCCTTAAATTGATTTATTCCAACAGGAGACTAATGAATGTTACTGTGAAAAAAATGTTATGTGAAACTTTAGTTCTTTCACATGCAAATCATGCAGACGTTGTTTATGGACCAAATTTAACGAGAGTGGACAGGTTCAGGGTGCAGAGGCTGCAAAATTCATGCGTGAGGTTAATATCCGGAATCAACAGGAGGCAGCACATCTCGCAGCACTTGGCTAACATCGGCTGGTTGAACATGGAAATGCGTCGAACTCTTCACGCTTGTGTGCTTTTTCACAAAATAATATGTTCACAACGGCCTGTCTACTTGTATCACAAAATTACTTTCAGAACAGATGTACATAACCTCAATTTGAGATTCAAAGGAATGATATCTCCGCCAAGATACAAAACCACCAGATATAAAGGTTCCTTCACGTACTACTGCTACTGGCTTTATAACCGGCTCCCGATCTCTTATAAAGGAATGTCAAAAAAAGTAATGAAAAATAAATTGAAATCTGATCTACTGAACAACAAATTGCCACAACTGTTGGATTACGTCTCATAAATTTTCATCATGGACAGCCCCACTACACACCAATTTGAACAACCTGTAATATGTGTTTACAAAATTTCACATCGTTTTCGAATATGTATGTTATTTTTTTTTTGTGTGTTCACTTATGTATATCATGCCCCAATGTATTATTTCCAAAACGTTTGAATTCATGATATTGAAAAAACCTGCTGTTAACAATATATATATTATTATTCAAATTATAGTTATTGTATGTAGAGGTTGGATGGAAGAACAAGAAGCGAATTAGATCTCTTGGATTTCTAATTCGTCTATTGAATCCTGCCTTTTGATAGGATCTGTATTTTTTTTTTCATTTCCCTATCAATAAAAGCCATTATTATTATTATTATTATTCAAAAATGTTCAGCAATACTTGCTATGACAATAGACTATTGTTTAACGAGCACGGACCGACAAGTTGATTTCCAATAGTGGAAAATTAGCATTCCATGCGAATTATACAAGATGTCCCAGAAAAACGTACCATAAATTCTACAGGGAGAACTAGATACCAAAATAGGCCAATTGAAATCAATCTACCTCTATACGAAAATGCACCGCTGAATCGTGAGAGGGCGATGAAGCACAGTATTATTTCCAGATATTCTATAATATTTCGAAATGCTTGAATGAATATGCATCGATAACATGTACCAATTCAATCAATATTCAGGGAGTTAGGTATTTCGCATTCTCTTTGATCAAAATTAATGTAACTTTCTCGATATTTCGATGAATGATAACATCAATTATCTCACTTTTTTCTTAATGAAGTGTTTTTATGATTTTTCTTGGCTTTTTTCTAACAAAATTCATTTCACTGCTCCTTTATACCTGTTTATAAATATGACGATTTTATCATGTTTTGCAAATTTTCACTTTATTTGTCATGAGTTATTGACCACATTTATCATGTTTATGAAGTATTTTAGCATGATAATGTTGTTGGTCATCTTCAAATGTATTTATTTTTCTGGAATAATTTTGTTAGCATAAATCCTGAACTGGAATCAGGAAATGACCAGCTCCCAAATCATGTGATGAAGAGCTTGCAAATAGGTGAACTTGATTATTGTGGTCAATAACTCAACATAAATGAGGTAGAAACGAGCAAAACATGATAATTGTAAAGCACGAACATTATAAACTAGTATGGAGAAGTACCAAAGTGAATGTTGTTATTTCTCGAAAACCAAGAGATATTGTGAAAAAACCTGCAGTTAGAAAATAGTGAGGTATTTGATTTTGTCATTCATTGAAATATCAAAATGTGGTCAGTGCCGTACTCCAATAAAGTTACATTAATGGGGAAGTTTCCTTCAGATAAATTTTCATAAAATAAGTTGGGAACTCTCCAGTTTTATGTCCACGCTGTACAGAATGGCGACCGATAAAGTCCAAGTCGTTTTCATTTCCAAATTAGAGCAATTTCTAATTTTCGAGGCGGCAAACTGTGACGTACATTTTGAATCCAGTCTGAAAATAGCTGATTGTGAAGAATATATAGCAAGCAAATAGCTAACGAATAGCTAACGGATGAAAGAAATAGAAGAAGTAAAACTGGTAAACAAAAACATACATGACCACAAATGCACTCGGAGCATTAATTCAGAGGGTAGTTGGCTTCATTCTGAAAGGTTAGGGTTTTGTGATTTATGCACTGAAATATCTCGAATAGAGTTCGATCCTTAACGAAAATATCATTGAATCATAGAATCACTATCGGCTACATTCAATGATACTATCCTTCCAAAATTACTGTCATCGGTCAAAATGAAGCCGACACCCATGGCTACTTCCTATTGTTGTGCCTGTCAGTATTTTGAGTGGTGTGGACGGATTCGACGTATTAGGCGCTGTTGCCAGATATAATCTGCAAATTTACTAGAAAATAGATCCGTTTTATTAAGGAACGAATTCATTAGCAGAAAAATGACTGAAAAGTTATGAATAACATATTGTGATATAACGATAGTGAAAAATCATGAATACTATCGCGAAATACCATAATTCATATTTATTAGTAATCAACTTCATTCAGCCAATGAGAGATTTATGGGAATCATTCATAATACTTGACAAAGTAGGATTGGAGAACCTATTATATCCCATTGCTGTTATGATATATGATATGATATTGATGATGTCGGCAACATCGAACAAGCACAGGGAATCGTATTTTAACTCTGTGGGAATGTGGATTTTCAGAAAGTACGTCATAGGAATGGTGGAGGAGCCTAGTCCCTCTTTTATTAATTTTTTTCTGAAGTAAATTTTGATCTCACAAAAAAAATAAAAAATTTATTTATATTAATTTTTTACAAACCCTACAGTGAGAAAACAATTTAGAAAACTTCTTCATTTTTTTCAAAGAGAATACGAAATATCTAACTCCTTGTATATTGATTGAATTGGTACATGTTTTCCATGCACATTCACTATAGAAAATTGTCATACGAATTTCAGAGCAGGATTTCGAAATATTGAAGATAATCTGGAAATAAAATTGTTCTTCATCGCCCTCCCACGGCTCTACGGTGCATTTTCGTATAGAGGTAAGTTGAATTCAATCGGCCTATTTGAGTATCTAGTTCACCCTGTAGAATTTATGGTACGTTGTTCTGGGACACCTTGTATACTATACTTTTTCTTCGGCATCAACGACAGAAAAATCATGAAAATTATATTCAACATCATTTCAAAACAGAGCTGTAATGAGAAGAATATTCATCACCATTTCGTGGAAGACGTGATTTATTGAATACTGATGAGCACAAAAACTACTGTTACACAATGGAGCCATTGTTTTATCAGGAAAGGAAATTAAATTGAAAACATATAATGTACCTTATTGATTTATCAAGAAACAGCAGTTTTGTGTTATAGTCTTAGAAAAACACAAATATCTATTGATTGTTCATTGATTGTTGTTTCGTATTATTCGATCATCAAAACAGTTGACACATCAAGTACCTATCAACTTACCTTCGGAAAGTCCAGTAGCCTTTCCTCGCCAATAAGCAGCGGTAATCTTTGGTGGAGATGACGCGATAAAAGTGGCATAAACGGTGCCAATGTCCTTAGGCCTACATCCAGGCATGTAAGTAGGGTCCAGCAATGGCCTGAAGCTGCAGGACTGTTAGAGAGACGTAAGCCACGTTTTGTTGTTTCCTAATGAAAAAGTGACAGTGACTGAAAAGCAATCCCCTCACAATTAACTTGTAACTGTCAACTTTTTCTATTTGCACCATAATTTTTATTGATTTTATATTTGTTTCAATATAGTCGTGAGACAAGTTGACTTTTTGACAAAATTAGTTGTAATAACAATTTAATTTATGTATGAAAAATCCCACGAGCCGCGTGATTTTGTTATTATGACAGCGAAAAAATTTGTCCTAACTTTTCCAGCGACAATAACAGAACCTAACTTATGAAAGCATGACAACCAGCCATAAACAAATGTTCGATGAATTGAATTGTCTTACCGAATTACACTCTAGCTTTTTCTTTAGTCGAAGTGAACTTGGCATTTATCATTCGAATTTTGTTGCCATTAGGTAATTCAACTCAAAAAACTGAGTTGAGCAGTTTTTTTTCGTCGTATTGCCAGGCAACGAAGTCTTATTGATACATGTCAAGTTAGCTCCGACAAAAAAAAAGCTCTCGTGTAATTAATATAATAATAATAAGTGAAAATAAATGCTTAGTTGACAAGAAATGTTCATAACATTTTGAGACGTGTCACCGAATGTGTCAATAAAAGTTACCGAAACTAATGCAATTATTTCATTTGTCTGATATTTCTACACAGCTTGTGATTTCAAAGTGTGCTGTGAAAAAATTGAAATGTTCAAACTGATCATAATTATGTTGAACACACAATGACAAGATCATCTTGTCATATGTCATGGAGCAATCAGTATGTGTATATTGTGTGTTAGTAGAAGTGGTAGTAGTAGTAGTAGTAATTGTAGTAAGAATTGAGTATTAAGAAAACGATAGCTAATTTACATTAACATGAAAATGCATTTTTATGAATAATATCTTGAGTGAGAACCAGTTTGGATTTCAAAAGCACAAGAGCACCAATGATGCAATTTTTTCCTTTCTTACGAAGGTATATAATGAAATTAATGAAGGAGAGGCCGCCGCAGCAGTATTCTGTGACTTATCCAAGGCATTTGACTGTGTAAGTCATGGAATTCTGCTGAGCAAACTAGAGGAATCAGCAATTCATGCCTAGAAAATCGTACACAAATTGTGAAAACCAACCACCTCTCTCGAAAGGAGGCAACTCAATGCGGGGTGCCACAGGGTTCCGCACTTAGCCCCGCATTGTTTTTACTTTATATAAATGATCTCTCAAAAATTAATATATCTGGAGAGTATACATTGTTTGCCGATGATACCACTATATTTTGGCATGACAAAGATGAGCATGCTTTACATCATAAGATACAAGTAGACATTGAACTGATTAAGACCTGGTGTGACGATAACTTGCTAGTCTCCAATGCCACTAAATCTAATCTATTAACGTTCCGCTGCGAGCTTTCTGCCTTGACCTTAGGCACAAATATCATCGATAATGTTTCCTCCACAAAATTTCTAGAATTCCACATTGATAATAAATTGAAGTTTAGCGACCATGTCACGAAATTGTGCAAAAAATTATCAACCGGACGCTAGGCAATCAGGATAATATCACGGGAATTGGACATTACAACTGCTAAAACAGCTTATTTTGCTCTTATTGAATCCCACCTAACCTACGGCATTGCTTTCTGGGGAGTGTGCAACAAACAACTGTTACATATGGTGCAAGTTGTCCAAAAAAGAGCTATTAGGGCTCTTTGTAAAGTAAAAACGCGTATTTCTTGCCGCGACCTTTTCAAAAATAATAGAATCCTCACTGTTACTTCAATTTTCATCTTAGAAACCACTTGCTTAATACACAAGAATCGTCACAAATATAATATAGTGTCGTCTAACCATAGATAGATAGATAGATAGATAGATAGATAGATAGATATATATTTAGTGATTTGAAATACTTTCAATTACACGCGTCAGTAGTATACAGGGTAATCATTTGAATACTTGTAAAATACAAACAAATGATAATATCAAATATAAAACAAGTTGAGACAAACATAAACATACTCAAGTAGGAAGCTTTTTACGGTCGATAAAATGGAGAGATACTGTGTCACTGGGAAGGTGGGTATTCAGTAAATTCGGCACATTGGTATTCTCTAATAGAATAAAAATTGAACCTCAGTAACATCTGTTTGATTGAGGTTTTAAATTTGGTGGTATTCTGGTTTTTATAATTATCGGGAAGTTTATTGTACAGATCGACATTTAAGGATTTTTGGATGAAGTTTCCAGTCGTAATCTTGGGTTGATGAGTGAGTTTCTATTTCTTGTATGGTAGTTGTGTATGTTATTATGCTTAATGAATAAATGAATGTTCTCGTGAATCTCTAAAAGACAATGAAATATATATAAAGCTGGTAAAGTCATAATATTCAATTTCGAAAATATCTGTCTACATGGCTCCCTGGGTCCTGCACCATAAATTATTCTGACGGCCTTTTTTTGGAGGATAAATATCCGTTCAGCCTGTGAGGAGTTGCCCCACAAGGTTATTCCATAGACCAGATGTGAATGGAAAAGTGAGAAATACGACATTCTGATGGCCGTTGAGCTGAATGATTTCTTCAAATTTCTTAATAAAAAAATTTGAGTGGATAGTTTTTTACTTAGATAATCAATATGGTCGTACCATTTGAGTTTACTGTCGAGGGTCATCCCAAGGAGTTTAACATTGCCGTGAGAGACATCTTTATTCATAATACGCGATCATCGCACAAATTGAGATTACCTCTACCACTACCTAAAAACAATCTTGTTAAGGAATCTTTCATTTATAATGGACTAAAAATTTATAATTGCTTACCAATACATCTACGAGAAATTCAATCATTTAGATTATTTAAAATAAAATTAAAAGAATTGCTATCCACTCATCCTTTTTACAACGTGGAGAAATTTTTTAGTAGTGAACCCTTATATTAGCATTAAAATACGCTTGCCTCCATGTTTTAGAATTGATTTCATATGTTTGCATCCTGTGGCTTCATCTGCACATTTTATTATATTATGTCTGTATTTGTAATATTTTCAATATTTTCAATATTTTCAATATTTTCAACATTCTTAATATTTCACTTTGTAATACCTATACAATGACTTTGCCGATAAGAACTATTTCTTCTGACAATAAAGCATATTTGATGATGATGATGATGATATCTTTTGAATCAAGTAGTCTGAAAGTTTGTTTATTTCACACTCGCGCCATTTGCTTCACACTATGTTTATTTGATACAAAAAAGAAGCATCTTAAGAAAAATGTTTATTTGGGGGTTAAAACAACCAAAATTCAAAAATGTTTTTTAAAATTATTTGGGGCCAAAAACCCTTACGAACCATGTTATCAATTTTATAGTTTCCTTTCTCCTCCTACCTAGCAAGCCTGATGATGACTCCTAGGAGTCGAAACATGTAGCACATTTTATTAAAATTTACTTGGAGCGATACTTTGAGTTTGTTTTCTTAATTATATCTACATATTTTTGTCAATTGAACATTATTTTTTCATTTTAATTATATTTGTCCAAACATCAACTTGTCATACATCACTGTACTCAGAAAAAATTCCGATCAGAGAAGACCTTGCAAGAACATACAGTGCCCAATTTTGAAGAAATCAGTTAACAGTCCGTAATGTTACAGTTGAGATTTGGCAGTTGTTCTTCGATTACCTTTCATCTGCCTAACAGGTTTATAACCAACAGTATTCTGGAGAACCGTTTATTATACACATCCACCATACTCTATAAGCGACAGAATGTAAGATTACAGCGCCAAGGCGGCCGGTTGTGGAACTATGAAAGTACATTGTTTTGAAATGGTTCATTTGCTTGTGTGTATTATTTCGATTTTTCGGTAGCTTATTTGTGTACTCTTGTGATTCCAGGGAGCTTTTCAGCAGATATTCGTTTGATAAAGTATGTTTCACTTCTTCAAATACGTGAGATTTGCAAAATGATAATGTCCCAATTAGAGGTATCGTTAGTTTGCATTTCGTTCCGAGTGAATATGATGTTGAATTTTACAGAGTAGGTATTTGAGATATATATATTGCAGTCGATGCATCAACATATGTGTTTATGAAAGAGAAAAAGTCCTCAAAGCTGGATTTATGTGCTAATTATTGATCTACCTAGTGTAGGAAAAATTGAACATATTCATGTGCTCTGCTTTCGAGTAAGGATTTCATTTTTTCAAATTCCTCCTGTAACTTTTCACTTCTGGGAATAAAATGCAACTGCATTAAATCGCAGAGTTGGGAAACATTACCATTTTCTGTGAAATGCAGTGAGAAACTTTCATGAATAACATGTTAAACCGAGCAATAATGAAAAAATATACTCTACTGAAGAATTCGAACACGAAAAATGATGACCACTAAACTTTTGATAAAATGGATGGAAACTTGAATGGAAACAAACATTCAATGTACCTTCCATTTTATAGTTACTTGAATATCCGCAAGAGAGCGTATGGCTTATTTTGAATCACCTATCAAATGATCAAATAAGAAATTGAAGTCTTTATGAGTGTGCTGAAATTCTCCAGAACGGAATATGGAGTGATGTAACAAAAACTCACCAAATATATATCACAGAAATCATAGTAGAGAAAAGTCTTCAAAGCTGTCGTACATTTATGAAAATCATAATTTTGCAATCCCTGCTGTGTGTTCGAAACCATCAATGACAATCTACTGAGTATCCACCTATCCATCGACAGAAGATCATCGAATTTGGCTTTCTTTATGTCTTGAGCATCACTGATGGTGGTGAACCACGAATTGGTGAATCTTGTGGCCTGCCAAATCTTGTTGCAGAATAATTTATTGGTATAACATTCGTTCACGTCAAAATTGATATAGTGACCTGAAAAAAATAACTGGGTTGGGTATACAGGGTGAGAGTTCGTACGGGAAATAGATAGGTTCTATTAGTTCCCTTACAACCAGAAACAAGTGATGGAAAGTCTGACTACCCTTCAAGGATGGCATTGACGCTTCTAGCTTGAATATGATATGGTACATAAAAACGTACATATTTAGATGTTTGATTGCTTTGAAACATTTTTTTCGCTCGACATGCAACACCCATAAGTTTATTTATCACTCTAATTTTGGAAATACCCTGTAAGCTACTCAAAGTGTGTGATAAGATATATGTGGTGTGGATACGATATACTACCAGCTTTTTAATGTAAATAAATATTGATATTTAAGAATAAAAAAAAACGGTTTCATCTTTCCATTGAAGGTGAGTATCTAGACTTACTTTTGATGTTATGAGACATAAGTGTGAACCTCAATGCATCGGATCCACATTCTGGAATCCCTTGTGGAAACATTTTTTGCTGCCCTCTAATAGATTTCTTGAGCTCTTCTTCTGAAAGTATACCAGAGGAGTGACTAGCTTTGGATGTGTTTTCCATTTCCTGTTATTGAAACCATTGATGAATAAGTTAAAGTGAGTTTTTACAGTGAGTTTATAAAACAAAATATAATATATGAATAAGAATTAACCAATTGAATCATCGCGCCCTCCGCTGCGTCTTTCATTATAATTAATATGGTGATTTCGTAAAGTACCTTCTGAATGAATTCATTTTCAGCCAAACTATCCATTCCTGAGGAATCTCCTAGACCAGGTATTTTGAATTCACCACATTCATAGAAAAAAATCAAATATACAGGGTGATCCACGTTTGAGTAATGACGATCGAGACATATTTTTGAAATGGAACACACTATATACTATTAATTAATTATTGTAATTTCCATGGAAAGCTGAATTCGTAATTGCATTTACACTAAAAGTTTGTACACATTGTGTCCGTCAAATTGGGTATTAATTTTTATTCATTATTATAATTTGTGGGAAATTTCCTGAAACATGTCTGTTTACATTTTCAATTTGCCACATTCATGAGGAAAAATCAAATATACAGGGTGACGTTTGACTTATGACGAACTAGACGAATTTTTCAAATAGAACACCCTATATATTATTCTATTTTTGAAATGTCCATGAAAAGCTGAATTCAAAAATATATCACAAGGTTTGTCCGTTGAACTTAGTGCTTTCGTGAAGTAGTGAATACATTTGTGAAAAATTGAAGAAAAGATTTTTGGAAATTAACCGTCAGTTTTCATGTTCAAATGCACTTTTCCGAATTCAAATAATACATGTGGAATTATTCGGACAGGAAAAATTACGTCATCGGTATTTCACAAATGTCAACCCTACTTCCTATTTCACGTATAAATGTGGCAAATTGAAAAGTTAAATCGATCTGTTTGAGGAAGATTCCTCAGAAATGAATTCATTCAGTACTTTATGAATGCACTAAATTTAACGGACGCACTGTATAGAAACCTTTGTATGATATATTTTTTAATTCAGCTCTTCATGGAGATTTCAAAAATTGAATAATATAAGGTGTTTTCATTTGAAAAATTTGTCGAGGACGTCATAACTCAAATGTGGATCACCCAATATATAAAATTTTTCATCAAAAAATTGAAAATCGAATTGCGGCACGTTTGGTCATGTTCCCCTTCCATTTGCTTTATGTTTCAACTCGTTATTGCTGTGCCGTGGATTAGGCTCTGACTGAGGGGTAACACAGGTAGGTTTCTGAGATGTACCATTCAATTGGTATCGGATGGCATAATTGTTATCTCGCTATCGAATCGCGAAATCGAAATTTACGCATGGGAAAGTGCTATTTCTAAATCCTTTTGCTCAGGATGATGATTGGCACAGGTGTCGATTGATGAACTACAATGTTTCCACTTTTCTTTCAAACATATATAATTTCATAAATGACGGTAGAAATCTGCAGCCGGTTCTCCAACTATAATCAGTCCCGTAAATGTCTCAAGCGTTTTGAAGATATCAATAAAAATGTTTCTTCAACTTTGACACCCTGTATTTCGGAAACGAAGCATTTTCGGTCCCATGTTCATATGATCTTATTTTTCATATTTTGATAAGAGGAATTGTCCTTAGGCTTTTGTCAACAAATCTCCGAAACACCTTTATATCCTGATACAGCAGGATATCTGTGTAAATGTAGCAATGCAGATAGATCAATCATTGTTCGACAGATTTTGTCAGATTTTGGTCTCAACTCTCCCATACAACATAGGATATTCTTTAGACGTCCAATTCATGTCAAATATCAATGTCGAAATATCCTGGTATCAAGATTGAGAATCCATAATATATCCAAAATTGATCGAATGAAAAATGTGTACGCATATAAGCAGAGAGCTTTATTCGCGAGATTCACGGAGTGGGCGACATCTAGGTTACATAATACGAACTTCAAACTGGGAGAAAATAAACTGTTGTCTATGGAGTAACTGCATAGACTACATTGCATTCAGCTTGCTGTAGCCAGAGATGTTACCCACTTCTGCTGTAGTTGTAGTCAAACTTGTCAATTACATAAAGTGTTGGCACTGTTGCAGTGATGATGGTTGAGTTGGTTGATTTTTTTACATTATTACATTTTTATTAGCTTAGTAAACAGTGAACGGAAGAAAAATTGGAGAATTGGAGTTCAAACAATTCAAACTAATTATGACGAGCAAATCAATTGACATATAAAAGAACAGCTACAATATGTTTACAATACCCAGATTGTCCTGCTTTGCATGAACAAATACAAATCCATTGTTCTACAGGAGTTCATCTGGACCCCAATTTTCATTTTACTTCATGTGTGGAAAATTTCATCGCCGAAGTTTGGAGACAAAGTGCAAAAATGTGCCTTTTGTTGAAGTCTTCTGCCTCACACAAAATCACATGATTAGTACGGAGAACTGCTTCTCCTTTCACTACTAGTCGGCTTTTTCCATCTAAATAGAGCAAAATATCTGCCAAAAGAACATCTACAACAGGCATTATTAGCGTTTTCGATCGAATATTGACAATTAATGTCAAGAAACTTAAAAACATCACTCTTATCAGTACACAGTAAACAAGCTAATGGCACTAATGGAATTGAGTCAATGGGCTTATATCACAAATAAATTTTATTACATAATTCGATAGAACTCGCCCAAACTAGCTCACTACCGCAAACCGTTTCTTGCTGTGAGCTCCCTACGTTTTATAAAAAAATATTGAAATCCCCGATTTTTCGTACCTCTGAAAACGAGGCGATGATGTGACGTCAAAACCCTAATACTGAAACAAGACTATTCCAGACAAATATGAATGATACATGATTTCTGACAGAGTGAATTAGCGCGAGATCACAGTTGAAAGAATTAATATATCAGTTGCCTAAGTTTCTACGTCATAAGAGTCTCCGTTTTCAGAAGGTACTATTATTTATGTCTAAAAATAAAACATTCCAGTTGATTTTTCGATCGAATTATGTCGTCAATCATTATTTATGTATAAAAGGATCATAATAAATGGTTTGAGTTAAAAGTCCTACTAAGGTATACACGCCCATTGAGTGAGAATTGAGTTTGTTTTCCCCCAGTTTTGACGTGGCTTTGACATGGAACGATGAAAACCGAGCGCCACTTGGTAACATTGATTCCCGCGAATAATATTGAAATTATTCATTTACCTTCCGTGATGATAAACCCAACACTAACTTCAATTCGAAATTATGTATTGTAAAAATAAAAAGCTACCTGCAGAGTAACACCTCTGATCACATCCTCTGGGGCTATGACATTCCCGAGACTTTTCGACATTTTTCTGCCATGAGCATCACATACGATTCCATGTAGAAGAATCTCGTTGAAAGGTAGCTTTCCAGTCAACTGTGTTCCGAGCATCACCATACGCGCCACCCAGAAGAAGAGTATATCGTGCCCGGTTTCCATGAGAGAGAGCGGGTAGAACTTCGAGAGATCCTTAGTCTGTTAAGAATAGAATAGAATAGAATTTATTGGTGTCTTTGAAAGTTTCTTTCATTACACAGGTCAAATAGTTCGGAACATGTCCGTAGATATACCTGAATGTCTTGTTATAATAATTATTAAAAATAAAAAATATTTGCACATAACAAATAAAAGCAACAAGTATACATAGTTACACAACAATATATGGTTGAAAATAATATGTTGAAAGTAGAAGGTAAGATGAGTGTATTTCCATATGTATATGTCATGGTGTTTGATAGTACATTGTTTAACGACCACGGAATGATAGTGATTTCCTACGAGGATGAAATTTGCAGCATGAGCCATAGGTGAATGCTGCAATCATTCGATTAGGAAATTAGCAGTCCGTGCAAGTTATGCACTATAATTTTTCTACGGCTACAATAGATAACAGCGGCATTTTCGATTTCTTCGTCTTGTAGCCTTCTGATTTCCTACCAAGTAAATGCTCATCTATTAGACAGAGCTGTCGTTGCTTCACATTTGATATTTCATGAGCGATGAGATTTTTTTTTAATAATAACACAATGTAGTCATTGTGATACCAGATACGGAAATAATCCCAGGTAGAACATCATATTGGCTAGAACTTTGTCTCACATTAGCCCAATATTGGAATATTGAATATGGAAATACTAGATTGTCCCAATATCTAACCAATTGTTCATTTCAATATTCGATCATCAATCCAGTGCCAATGTTGTGGTTACATTAAAATGTTGTGACCAGCCGATATCAATTTGCCAATATTTATTTGATATTGGTGAAATATTAACGATTACAATATGTCAATGTTCATGATGGGATGATATTGTATTTCCAACAGCGGATCAATCTTGGAAACAAATATTGCATCAATATCCGATTTATGCATTTCATTGTCCAGCAATATCGCCCTGATATTGGCTCTTTGATATCCAATAATCAATCCAGTGCCAATGTTGTAATAAAATTAAAATATTGTGACCAGCCGATATCAATTTACCAATATTTATTTCATATTAGCGAAATATTGAGAAATAAAATATGTCAATTTCCATGATGGCCTGATATTTTTTTCCAATATCGAATAAATCTTGGAAAAAAATATTGCATCAATTTCAGATTTATGATGGTTAGTGAATGTTGCATTGCATTGTTCAGCAATATTTCACTATTGGCTTTCACTATTCGTTATTTAATATCATTTCGATATTCAATAATCAAGCCAGATGTTGAAATAACATAAGAATTTTGTTACCAGCCGATATTTATTTGCCAATATATATTCGATATTGGCGAAATATTAACCATTACAATATGTCGATTCTCATGAAAGGCTGATATTGCATTCCCAATATTGAATCAATCTTGGGAAAAAATATTGCATCAATATCAGATTTATGATGTTTAGTGAATATTGCATTTCATTGTCCAGCAATATTTGTATTTTTCATCAAGCCAATATTAGTTCATCAATATAAGACCCATTTCAGATAAATAGAACTAATGAAATATGTCAGAACCAATATTGCACTGAAATCGGTTTTTTGATAACAAATCGATATTAGTGATATTTATTTCGTTATTTGAGCGACTTTATAACTGGTGGTGCCACTAGCACGTCTCCAACAAACGACTGCTCAGAGGGATCAAATACTGCATCATTCGTTTTACTTGGTATTCTGGGATACAGAGAATGAAAATGGATCTGACACATTATGGTATCGTACCAATACCACAGTTTTTTTATGAGGCTAATATGGCTTCGAATTTCGAATTTGAATTTTGTTACGAAAACGAAATACAATGTTGATAGAATATTATAATTCAACAAAAAGATAATATTACAAAATGATCACATCCTAATTTTGGCCAATATAGTAGGCAAATATAAATTCAATATCAAATTTACATATGGAAATGATAAGAAACCGGTTTCTATAAGTTGGCATAATATCTTTGTCCAATATTGTACACGAATATAAACTCGATATTGGATAGAGCATATCGAAAAAAGATTTAAATTTAACAAAATTCCAGAATGTTCACATTGATTCATTGGTCCAATATTCAAAATCAATATTTTCTCAAACATTCACTCTTTATTGGTTGAATATTAAACCAATATTAGTGTTCCACCTGGGATGTTGATGGCACACAAAGTACCTCATTGACGCACCGAACACAGTAAAACAACAGCAATTTTGTGTTATAGCCGTAGAAGAATAATATTATATTCTGTTAGATCACTGGACAGAAATGCATCAACCGAGTAGAAACTGTGTTTCAGTAGAAGCTGTTTGATAGCTGATTCAAATTTATAGGAGCTGAGCTCGTTGAATGATTCAAGCAATTTATTATATTAGGTTGATTGGGTTTTTTGAGAAGATTTCAAGACGAAATCTAGGACTGATGAGCTGTGAGTTATTTCTTTTTGTCTGCTATAGCAGTGAAAATGGTCATGTATTTTAACCAAACAATAATACACATACAGTGCAGAAAGTGTCAATATTTCGAATATCCTGAATGAGAGTTCACAAGAGCCTTTATAAGCTGCCTCGGCAATGACCCTGAATGCTTTCTTCCGCTGAATGAAGGGGCGGTTTGCGTGGGTGGAGTTACCCCATAAAATTACGCCATAACACAGATGCGAGTGGAACAGTGAGAAATATGACATCTTCAGAACCTTCTCATTCTCAACAGTATTCACCAACCGCCTGAGGATGAAGATTTGACTTGACAACTTTTTACATAGTATGTCAATGTGTTCAGCCCATCTAAGTTTGTTGTCTAAGGTGATACCTAACAGTTTTACTGGTACGTTTGTAGCAACACCCGTATTGAAGGAAAAAGTGATTGATTGTGTTTTGGTGTCATTTTGAAGCAGGTTGTTAGGGGTGAGCCATTCACTGATTATCATCTGCGAACAACACACACTGTCTTGGTTTGATGTGATAGAATATATCATTTATGAATATAATGAACAGAAGTGGCCCAAGAACTAATCCTTGGGGCACTCCTAACGATATCGGCCTACACGCTGACGTATTGTTATGTCACGTTAGAGCATATACAACTACAAATATTTGTAGACCTCCACTGTGTCGTGAAATTCACCAATTTGATCAACCAATATTTGCTGATGCCCAATTTACAGAGAATAAATGTGATGAAGATATGTTTTATTGTTTAATTCACCTAGTGAACAGTCTGATGAGCTACCAACTCACCGATATTTGAACTCGGTGAATAGTTGTAACAATAGTTTATTCGTAATTTGAGGTCGTATCTGCCTTCAAAAATAAAAATTCTATGCACTTTCATCACCTAATCGTTAGGTTTAATATTTCAAATGTATAATTTGTATAAATTTTCAGTTATGGAATCTCTTCAAAAAGATTCAACTTTTTTGTGTCACGGTTTATTAGTGAGAATGTTGAAGATCATGATTGTATTACATATTCTTTCGGTAAAAAAGGCATACTTTGCAAATGTCTTACCAAGTGGCCGTTTTCGAGATATCTGCGTATCAATTATTCAAAACAACTTCGCAAATTCCCAGTTGCATTTTTTTTAGGTAGGCTGTGATCGAATCAGATGGAATAACAAACTTTGTGTAAAAGAGATGTTTGATACATAAACTTCATTATTAGACTAATACACCGTGACATAAGAAAATTAGACTTTCAAGAAATTTAATGTTCCGTCCTCTACAAGTGATATCCAAACTGAGAATGGATTTGAATTCTTCGCCCCAGAAAACCCCTTGATCCCCAATTTCGTGCCGTTTTGTCACCCTGTTGATGAATTATTGAGAAAAAACGAAATGCAAATTGAAACATTCCCACCCTGTATCTTTGTATCATCAATTTTTGGACCGAGGTAAGTTCTCCATATTTTCATTCAAAGAATCTGCAGCTTTGCTGTGTACCATTAATTAGCGAACACCCTATATAGGATGTATCATAATTAGTTGGGAATATTTTAATTATAGAATCCTGAGCCTATGATATAAGAATCAGCCCAAATCACCTAGATAAAATCTGTCTCCTGTTACAAAGTGTTTTTTTAATTCAAAATTGTTTGTGCCCAGTACGTATCATTTCCATATTCGGCAGGAAGTGTAGGTAGACGAAACACCCTATTCTGACGTATGTCAAATAAATGTTTCTGACTACCACCAGAGGCGTACGACAGGGGCAGTTGACTGGATGATCCTTCCCAAACTCTACGCCACTGTCGGAATTACCAGTTTTGTTCACATAGTGATTCTGTCGTTCATAGCAATAAAATATGTCATCTTCATCCCTGTCCGAAAGAGAACATGACAGGTGTTTTTATCTATTCGTTTTTTCGTTAGTATCTTAGACATTGTCAAGATTAGCAGCTTTTTCATTTCAGTTTTCATTTCGCTTCAAGATTTTCAGTTTTATTGTGTTATTTGTGAATATTCATTCACTTCTGTCCACCGTGACACCAACCTTTTATTATTGAATCAGTGGAACACGATAACTGTATGTTGTACTTGAAGCATTGTACAGTATGTGGTATTGAGTATTCGGCATCTATTGAGCTTTATATCTACAATTTGTTTCAAATTGGTTTTGAAAAAACTCGAAATATCTATTTATAATTTCAATGATGATTTTAGACGGTTCCGAATTTAAATTAACATAAAAAAACTGGAACTCTCCATTTGATCATACGTTATTCGGCAACTGTTGAATACAATTTTGTCAAATTCACAGGTCAGCCATCAGCCAATGATGTAGTATTAGTCGTTTCTCGGAAACTCACATCAAATAATCTCTTTCAAATAGCAAGAAATTAGGGCGCTCTAATAGGGATTCACAAAGCTGGAAAAATACAGGACAAGCTAGATACTTCAGTTAGTACATTCATACTCCTGTTTATAATACCAAAATACTTCATACATATTAAGAAAAAGTTATGTCTTGAAAAATTTGTGCTCAACTACATAGGTAATGAAATGTGTTGTAAAAATCTGGGTACAAAGTGTTTTCAAGAACTTTCTACTGTTTTTAATTCACCTTGATTTACTTTGCCTCATAATTTTTTGAAACATTTCGTTCTTCAAGGTATATGCAATTTGAATTCTTTCGAAATAACTCAAAATAATCACAGTAAAATGTGAATTATTCTCAGCTGATTTGAAATCACCATTGAACTCAACACAAATTCGATCAACTCTCCATCATTATAGTTCGGCAAGCACTGTATATTCCTCAAGTACCGTTGGATTATCATGGATCAATTTTTTGCATGCTTCTCTCGAATTTCGAAAATAGATAAGCAATTCAGAAAGAAAAGCAAATTATCAAACTGTATGTGACAATTGTTCAAAAAATTATACCGCAGCCAAGAAAAATATTTTCAACAAATATGGAGAGAAATAATTATTCTTCCTTTGAATACAGGGAATTTCACAGATTTTGGAGGAGCTTCATAAGAGTAATCAGAAGGCTTCGGTTGCGAGATACAGGACGTTAAAGTTGAAGTTTATCAAGTATTATTCTGATGAATCACTATGTAAAACTGACAGTGAATGATTTGGTAACATTATTTCGTTCATTCAACATCCAGTAGCGCCTGTTTTGATTTCCTAAAAAGATAGGTGGGGATAAATATTTATCGTCTAGGAATATGAAATATTATTGGATTTTCCAAAAATAGCAACTTTATTGAACACTTCATAGGACGTACTGATTTCGATGAAATAAAAAAAGAAACTATGATTTACTGGAAAATTTTACAGACTGGATTTTACCATTATACAGGCTATTTGGTTCACCGACATATATCTCAAAGGGGGTGGTAGGTAAGAACATTTTGAACATATTTATATATATATGTTACGCATTTCGAGATAGCATCGTTCTTACGAATTTCATGAATAGGTCCATATTATAAGTAATAATAAAATTTTTGTCTAACATTTCAATACCTCAATTCAAGAGACGATTCACTTTAATATTCAACTCATTCAATTTATTTGAAAAGGTAAATATTTTGTATAATAGTATATGTATATGGTTCAATATGTTCAAAATCACATTACCTGCCACCTTCTTTCAGATATACGTCGGTGAACCAAATACCCTGTATACAACAATTCATACAAGGTGGACTCAAGATAACTCCTGGCATATTCTCAATGCAAACGCCCTGTATCTCTGAAACAAAGCATTCTCTACCACCTATGATTATGAGAACTTTTTTGTTTCGGATGAGTTATTTTATCGATTGTCAAAGTCCTAATATCAAAATTTGGAGAGCCTTGAACAGTATTGTATTTAATGTTGATTTAGAAGTTTTTGAGCAAATGTGTTACCTCTTCTGGCCAACCAAACGCTGCGAACGGCTGCAATGCAGACGAGAACCACGTATCAAGTACGTCTTCGTCTCTTTTAGCTACAATCGCTTCTGCGTCAACGCCAAATTTCGCTGAAGCTTTCTTCTTCGCTTCATCTTCGCTCATTGCTGCAATCCATGTGGGACTTGATGCGTCAGAACTAGGATAGCATAAGTAGGCTGGTATGCGATGGCCCCACCAAAGTTGTCGAGAGATGCACCAGTCCCTATTAGATGAATGTTATTGAGAATCCCTCACAGTTGGTTGGGACAAAGGTCATGAGATTCGAGAACTACTTTTATGCACGACCAGGTGTAAAGTGACATTCGCGGACTACTTTATTGCCCGGCGTATAGGTTGTTCATATTCCTTAGATGCAAAATGATATGATCGAACCCAAGATAAGTTATCTGTGATGACAATAAATGACTGCAAATATAAAACTCCACTCATATTTCAAAAAGTCGACTGAGTTACGATGGTAACGTTGATTTCATCAATGATATTCCTAACAGTAGCCATGATGTATTTCTATCGTTCTTGAGGTGTGAAGAGGAATAAAATATACCGGTCGTGCATAGAATGTAAGTATTTCGGGCGTAACTTGCTATTATGGACCTTGGAGTCGGTCTATAAAAACCTATTGTACGCCCTTGATACATAAATATCTATTACATCACAGTCAATGTTTAGTCCTTTCTAAGAGTATCCTGAGTACAGTATGACGAAGTTTGCAGGTCAGAAGTTCCTCAATAAGGATCAGTGTGGTCCTATTTTATTTTAATTAAATATTAAATAATTCATTTGCTGATCATACCAGTCTTTATGGTGAAGAGAGATTTTCATATTCTCAAACCAAGCTATTGCACCTGACGAAGCTACTGTGTTAGCGAAACATGTCGTGGGTTTGAGAATTTTGTGGAAATCTTATCGTTTGTGAAGATTTTATATTTGCCATGGATTTCCATCAAGTAACGGAGGAGTCAATTCAAAATATTGCACCTGATCTGAACGTCAAATCTTCGTGCAATTCAAATCATCTTTTGTTTCAATAAGCTGAGGAAACCATGAATAGTTGTACCAATCTATCAACCAAAATATCAAGTTCAAACTGATGATTTCAAATTCTACTTCACCTTGAATACTGTTTTCTTCCCTTGTATAGTAAATTACTATGCATTACGAAATCGTTATTTGAGGGATGAGATTGTCTTAGGTGGATCAGTTTCGAACACTTTTGTTTTTAGGTATCCTCACAAAACAATTCGCTGACAGTTAGGGAAAGGGGAAGGGGACCAACTGATACTCCTGTTTCGTGAAACGATACGCCCTGAATACTTTTGAATCGCGTTATTTGATGGAATAGGTTGGTTGAAATGCCGTCGAAAGTCAGGACGCTTTTGCACTAAACTCTAGCAATTTGGATGATAGACTTCAACTGCATAGCCGTGTTGCTAACTCGTCCAATTATTGATTGTAAATAAATGGTGAGCCATGGTGGTTCTGACTGACTGGTCACTTTCATCCCCACCACTTCGTAGCGCGCTACAAGCGCCACTCTGAATCTTCCCGTTTCATAGTCGAACTCTGTATATGGTATTAACTCACTGACTTGCCAAATATCTGAATAGTTGATAAGTGGGAAAATCATATCCGATCCATCGCAAAAGCTGCTTCACAAAAGCTGCTTCACAAAAACTCAGATTCTTTTTCCATGCAAAAATCTACTCCGCACCTCAACAGCTTTTCATGATATACAAAGCACAACTACGGCCAGTTTTAGAATACTGTTCTCATGTATGAGGTTTAGCACCCAAACATACGCTGATGCTCTCAGATTCCATACAGAGAAGAGCCATTCGCCTGGTGGGTGATGCCACACTCACTAACTCTTCATTGAATTTTTATTCATTGAATGGTATTTTCAAATCGCAAGGGTAACCTTATAACTAATTGAGTCAGGTATTCATGCAATGAATGGTCATGACTGTGGAAAGAAATATATTAAGCAATCAAGTCAAAGCATAGAAAAAAACATTCGAAGAAAAAGAACATATTGCTCGCTTCAGATATAATCGATGTGATGAATAAAATTTTGCCAAACATATTTACAAGACTAGCCACACTATCACTTGAGATGATTAAGGACTTCTTAACTAATCTTTGGTAGAAGTCCATATTGCTCAAAGTGGAGTGAAATATTTCAATGATATTTTTAACTAAATCATGAGGGACATGTTTCGGTCTTATAAAAGACCATCTTCAGCCTAATTGAAAGGTCTACAATACAAAAACAAATGATATTGAAATGAAAGGATTACCTATTTTATGCTAGACTTACTTGGAGTTGAAAAAATTATTTTATTAAATGCTACTATTCCTTGAACTGTCAATGCCCATAGTCGAGAGTTCTAAGGTTCTAAATAAACGGGTTCTCAATAAATGAAGGGCTCCGTGCCCTGAGAGCGTATACTATGTTTTATTAATGAACATTTCATATACCCAAAATGGTATATGAAGGGTATTGTCAAACAGTTTATTATCTGACAACACCATAAACTAGCGGGTTTTTAAAAAAGGGGTTCCCCGTTCCCTTATGAAGGCGTTATTTAAAGGCAAATATCAATAAAATTGATGGGGCAAGCAGCCAGCACGTGTTTTAAATCTAAACTAATTTGGTTAGAAAACACTGAAAATTATGTCAATTGAAGACATGGACAAGACGTTGACATAGAGTCAATGTCAGTGTCAAGGGATAAAAGATGAAAATCTGACCATGAGTATATGCCTATGAAAACGATGGGGAATGAAATAGTTTGAAGACCATTCAGGAACCATCCATATTTCAAACCTTCTTGAGTTATTTTGACAAGATGATCATTGAAGCATAACCGTTATGAGAACCGTGAAATAATTTGGCATGAATCGGATATCACCATTATCGACAATCATTCTCGTTGGTAATTTCTGGGGAATATCCCGAAAGATTCTGCACATTCATTAAAATCATTGAGAACCATAACCAGGAACTAGACATTCGACTATTTCTAATTGAAATTAAAATAATGCAGAACTTTCTGACCAACATCCGAGTGCCATGGTCCATGAATGTGTGCAAGGTAACCGTCGGAGAGAAATATACCCAGAGGCTCATCACGATGAATTAGTCTTTGATCAATGATCTTGGAGAATAAATGTCCAGACAAGTGAATTTTTGAATGATAAGTGTCCCAAACGCGCCATGTAGAAAAAAGGTGAATAATAAGTTGATGTAGACTTAGCTCATATACGAGGTGTTTTTGAAGTACGTATATATTCAGGACATCAGTACAATACAGTCTAACGAATATCCTCATGACATCAGAATTTCCTAATTCTTCTAACGAATAATTTAATTTAGCAAATTGAATGAAAATCAAAAATAAAATCAAGTACACCACTTCAAGGCTGTTCCGTCCATCTCCTTTGTTATGTCCTTTTATGTAAACTTAAAATAATAATGAATTTCTATGCATTATCTGCTATCCGTGGTTGGCTCACTGTATATCTCAAAATTGAATTCGCGCATCAGGTCTTTAAGGTTTTAGATGCAGCGCCACCAAGTGGCCACCGCGGATAAAAGAATCAGAACTTTTCGTACATCGAATTCGATATTCAATTCAATCGCCTTGAATCTTTCCAAGTAAAATTTTCTCAACAATAACAAAATATCCGTCCTCCAGACGTTAATGGAACATTAAGTTTCCAATTAAGGATTAGTTATCTCTCGTGACGCGAGTGGTACCAGATAGTTCCTGAGGGAAGACCATTCATCCCATACGTCCAGTCCAGAGTGCCGTCCGACCACATCATAATTCCATGGAATAACCATAAGGTAAGATCTTAAAGAACACGCTCAATTTGCCTCCAGTCCATTTTTTTCTCTCCTGAGACTTTACGGGTAAAGGATTCAACCCCCTTACGTAAAGGCAATTCATATGATTGAACTCCGCGCGAATGCGCCTTCCGTACGGAAATTTATACAGAGGTGCCATTCGATAGTATACGTCTAACTTTCTTAGGGTCTAAAATATTTTTGAGGCAATGCCATCCTCATATAAATTTTCATCAATTACAACTTGGAGAGATCAGTGAATTTTACCTGAATGGATAAACCCATTGATGAAGCATCAAAGACATGAAACCCTTGAGGTTTTTTTAGTGAAATCAATATTGGACCCGTTCTCTGATCTCAGCGACCTAGAAAGAAAATCTGAACGTCTTACAAGAAGAACACTCAGATATTTAGGCACCTGCTGGTGGATCACTCCATATATCAGAATTAAATTTGCTCCATTATGCCTTTTTGAGAATAAAAAGGGTTGTCCGAACTACGTGTCCACCATGGGTAACTTCGTTATAAATAAATATACAACATTGTTTAAATTAGCAAACCAACAGTATTTTTGAAACATAAGCATGGCGTTTTCGATCATTGACTGAACCATTTTTTTACATCAAAAATCCTGTCAATTATATTTTTTTGTTAGTACTACAAGACTTAGATGACGAAGCTTGGTATTTTTATTAAAAATTAAAAATCAAGAATACTGATTCATTTAGACAGTTTTGTACTTTTAATGATTTCAAAGTTAGTTTCCAACGACTGCGGACAGTTTATTGATTGTATTGTATACTATAAGCTTATATCATTGAGATGAGTTTGATGAGATACTTCAGAAAAAAATGATTTTGACCTAATTTTGTACGCAAATGATTTGAATGGTTATTAAAATGATGACCTATATATAAGTGTTTGTGGTCTAATACAATGACGTCAAAATATTATCATTCATATGACAACCATTCGATCCTTTTTTCAAGTTCTTCGAAATAACCAGCTAAATTATTGTCGATATTCAATGTTTATATAACTATTCCACGGTATCAAAGCAAATTCAGAATCAGATTTTGATAAATCTGAAAACAATGCGTGTTCCTTATTGGGTGTCCTTCGTTTCAACTGACATATGGATCTATGCCAAGCCTAATTACAAATCAAAACATTTATTTGTGTATTTGTTCTATAAGAAGGGCCATCAGATATATATGTGAGGTTAGTGCAAGATAATTTTCATTCAAAAAATAAATTACCTCTAACCTGCCTTTTTATATGAGTTGAGTTGTCTGTGATGTTAGTCACATCAAGCAGCTCTCAAAGAGTGAAAATGTATCGATTCATACCATATTATTATGTAATCAAAATTAAAAAAATATATTTGTCTGTCAATATAAAAAACAACGCCTACAAAAATGTTGGTGCTCTATGGAGACATATAATCATTTGCCAAAAAATCTGAGAGCAATATGATACAAGAGGATTTCAGCAACAATGTTGAGGAATTCCTCCAACAGGAAGCTAACGACCTACAGGAATATTATAATGAAAAATTTCAAGTCAGACTTATATGTATCGTTATTCAATTATTGTGATATGTTCATATGTTCATATTAAGCAGTACTTATGGATTTAATATTATTATTTATCATCACATTATCTTGTCACAATTTGAATTCACATTGTGTTCAAGTTTTCTCACTTTTGAAATATTTTATGTCTCAATTTAAAGACAGCTCTGTCAATAAGAACAATCATTCTTGAACGATAAAGTATTGTATTGATTGACAAGATTGGAATCAAAACTAACATAAAACAATAAGGTAACACAAATATGGAAATATATCGAGAAACATCCGAAAAAACAAGGTTAGCCCGAAAAACTCTAGTCCTCAGGGTATTCTTATGGAGGGGGGAACGTGGGCTGTGGTGAAGGAGTAATTTTCTTCAGTTATATGACGGTTTCCCTACCAACTGTGGATAGATTCCTCTTCATTTAGACAAAAAAACGATAAATTGTTGTTAACATCTGATAATCAACTTCAGTGGCAGCGAAAGGTAAAAAAATAATTATTTTTCTGTTCACCACAAATATGAAATTGGTCAACCATTTACAATCAAAGAGTCAAACCACACTTCACATTCAAACTCCAACAGATGGAAGTATGTCGAATTTATGGAATTATACCAATATTAGCAAAATAGTATATGAAAAACAAACACATTTGTTGAGATTGTGTTTGATGTTTAACGATGCAGACAAAATGGCGAAATGACCAATCACAGATTGTGGCGTGAAAACTTACAAATGACTTTTCACCTTCACGATGTCCATTCAGAAATTGGTTCTAAGAATGAGTGCATGCGCCTAACAAATTCATCTAAATAAAAAGTTCTATTTATTCGACATTTCAACAAACATTCGTATTGAATTTTCTTCTTGAGAATAACAATTCTACTGCTAATTGAAACTGACACCATACAATTTCGAACAATTTTGTCAATAAAATGTATGAATGATAACTTACCTAATATTTTCTAACCAATCGAACCACGTCTTCTCGAATATTTTAGGAGTAATCTTTAGATTTCCGTTTTTCACTTCATCAACAGATCTTGCTGCCATGTCAGCACACTTAACGAACCATTGTGGACGAGCTAGTAGTTCCACCACATCTTTAGATCGACTGAAATGATATATCAAAATTGAAATGATAAACTATAAAGGACCAGCAGAAAAATGTATCACGATTTACAATTAGTGAAAATCTTGTTGTCTTTCATTGATACTTGAAGTATAATCTACCATTGACACAATAAGGATGAAATAATAAAGATATGCTACCCGGCAAAAAACAGCTGAAAATTGTTACCAAATTTTTCTCTCTCCCGATCCGTTCATCTGATTTCTGTTTCCAGTAGGCGGCTACTCACACACCTGCCGCAGGGACAATCTAGGGTGTGAAAGTGGGGTTGACCCTAAATTGCCTCCTAGATTGTGACGTGTGTAGGCAAGCAGGGCCAATTTCCTAGATCACCTCCTTTGCAGGGCAGCAGGCGCACCAGACCTTCCTAGCTTCCTAGATCCGCTCCAACCGCCCTGCTACAACTTGCGTGTGTAGCGTGATTGGGCCAATTTCGTCTCAGTTCTGAAGGAAAAGCCGTGCGGGGTGTTCTTTTCATTGTCTAGCTTGCTGGGGTGGATCGAATATGGAAATCGAGAACAACCAAGAGCGATAAGATTGGACGCGGGTAATAGATAAGTCTTTAAAGACCGGCCCCACATGTGGTTCTCTCGCATTAATGTATCTTTTTTTCTATTAATGGTGTCCCCATGCCGAGGATGTCTTCAAAACATTCTAAATCCATTCGTTAAAAGTTTTTAGGATCATCAACTTCCAATTCTTGCATAACGTTCATGTGACACCATTCTTTTCGTTTCTGTAACCAATCCTTCATCCAGTACTTCCTTTTTCTTTTTTTCTTCTGTGGCTTCACGGAAACAGCCAGGGCAATGCCAATCTTTTGATTTTTTGAACGTGTTGGCAGCATCTTCACGACTCAGTGATAGTCTGTTCTGCGGTACGTTCACTACCGCACTGGACTGAACGGCAGGTACGTGTGTAGAGACGCTTCCTAGATTGCCCCAATCACGCTGCACCCTAGATTGTCCTACCGGCAGGTATGTGAGTAGCCGCCTTTAGAATTGATCATTTTATAAAAATGAAGGGAACAATAATTCGGCACTTTTGTTACCTGTTTGTATAAAGAAGGTAAACTGTCTGATATAAAGTGAACCAGCAAAATGTTCCTTGATCCTGTTCCTGCATCTTTTTGATTCGGAAGAGTGAGTTATTGATTGATAAGCTGTAGCATAATGTCCCATGTAAAAAAGAATAGGATGGAGAGATTGAGTAAGTATATTCATATTATATTCAATGATGAACTCATGTTTTGCATGACCTAACGTTGTCCAAACACAAGAGTTACACTGATCTGCTCAATTGTTATATTTATGTCCAGCGCTTTTCTTTAATGTTCACCCCCCTCTTATTTTTTGAACGGGTCAACTGAAGGAATAGAATGAGATTGATGCATGAATACTTTATTTTGGAGCAAAATTGACAGATGAAGATTTCAAGATGGCGATTCGGTGCTTGTGTTCGATACATCAATGAGATTTTGTAATTTCATTTCCGCATCTGATATCACGATGACTCCATTGTGTTATTACTATTTTCTCTGTCTAATAGATGAGCATTACTTGAGAGGAAATCAAATGGAAAAAAGAACATAAAATAGAATAGAACAGAAATGAAAAAAAAGAAGAAGAAAGAAGAATAAGATAGTGAACTGGTTTTGGATGTATGATAAATTGACATTCATCATACAGAACGTGGAAAGAAATTCTGAATTGAGAAAACCTAATCACGAATCTGCGATTGAGGTCTATAAAAATCTTGTGCATTCGAGTTGATTATAAATTGAGATATTGTAACTGAAAGATCGTTTGAACATTTCTGTAAGTTAAAGTAGTCTACGGATATTGAGATTATGAATTTCAGTTCTGTAAGAAGATATGGTGGGATTTGGAATATGTATACTTTGAAGAACAGACATGACATGTGAAGACGTCTTCAATTGTACATCCCTATGAAATAATTCCCTATTTATATCATTGATAGGCCTAAAAGTAATTTTACTTCTAAGGCTGGGACGATCCATATTTATTTTGAATTCTTCAATGAATTGTAAAGTGATCTGATGATGGTTGCTCGTCTAGAATGGCGGTTAGCCTGTCGAACGGTCGGTAAGCTAAACACTTCTATACATTTTCGGTTTCTAAAACCCACCTGCAGATAGGCACAATCATCGCATGATCCTCCGTTCCTCGAAACAATTGCAATCTGCTCAATTCTTCTACAATCACTTTCCTTGCCTCGAACCTGCGGAGTCCTTTGAATTGACCACATTCTGTATTGAGACGTCCGGTTTCATCGATCACTTGTAGGGAAGGAAGGGAGTGCCTTTTTGCTGCTTCAAAATCTGCATGGTCATGCGCTGGAGTTATTTTGACAGCTCCTGTGAAAACATAACAGGGTTATGGATATTCAACAAGACGGACTGAAATGTTATCAATGATATGGATTAATCAGTAGGTAATAAAATGAAACCAAGAGCACTGTGAAACAAATAGTGGAATACGAAGTTCACAGCCGCCAATCTGCTGCTGCCAGGCTAAGTCGCTGCTACATTAGCCATCACTTGCTGCCATCACTGCGATCCTCTCAATTCTTCTTCTCCGTCTATCGCATTAACTTAGTTCAGCAGCAGATAGATTAGTATACTGCTACTTATTCATGTTTGCAAGTCTCTGTTTTCGCCCTCACAATAAGTGTATGAAGATGCACCGCACTAACAATCAAACCTAACTCGGCCTAAATGAAACATCTTCCTAAAAAGTATAATTTTTGGATATAACTAGAGAGAACAAGAGAAAATACTTTTTCTAAATGATCTAACCTAAAAATCTTATATTCATTAAGTATATTTTTCGGAAAATTACTTAGGACAACAAAATTGAAAAAATTACCCTCGCGAGGACTGAACCCGAGCCCTTAAGCATAGCAGTCAGGCACTTAGCTCGCTATGCCAAGCGCTTGCTCGAAAATTATTTTGTGAAAAGAAAAATATGCAAGAAACACTTTCGCAAATCGATACAAAAATTCCTCCCGTACAGTGAACAGGAGCTCCGTCAAGCTGTGCCAGCTGTTTCGGCTTGCTTTTAATGAGAGGTTATCAACAAAGTCTTCCACAGCCATTCTTATAATATCTAAATAATTCCTAGATATTGATAACTTGCCTTTTACCTATTACATGGATACATTTACTATCCATTAAAATCAGAAAACAGTAAAACTAAGTTTCTGCTGGAATCCTGCACCTCTAGTGTTGTTAGGATTTTTAGTAGTACAAAAATGTCGATTCCTATTTTCAAAAAAGTCGGATCCTCTTGTATACGAACTAATATCATTTCGCAAGATTCGACCCTTTCTGAATAATCCCGTCGCAGGAAGTCTTGCACCTTTGTAAATATATACCCATGTTTTTTTTATCTCTTGAAGCGCACGAAAGGAAATTCCTATAATGTTTGAAGAACATCGTGCGTATCTAGGAAGGATAGGAAGAAGAGGTAGGTTCAGGTATGTTCAGCTCGAATTATCTGTACTGTTGCATATGATAATTCCAAATCTTGTACTGAACTTAAAATTGAAGCTCAAGGGAAATGCAACGCACAAGAATAAAAAATAAGCCAAAACATTGACATATGATGTTCAGCTCGAATTCTCTGTACTGTTGCATATTATAATCCCAATCTTGTACTGCACTTCAAATTGAAGCTTGAGGAAAATGCAACACACAAGAATAAGCCAAAACATTGACAAATGATGTTCAGCTCGAATTCTCTGTACTGTTGCATACTATAATCCAAATCTTGTCCTGCACTCCAAATTGAAGCTTGAGGGAAATGCAACGCACAAGGATAAGCCAAAACACTGACACATGATGTTCGGCTCGAATTATATGTACTATTGCATATGATAAATCGAAATGTTGTACTGCACTTCGAATTGAAGCTTGAGGGAAATGAACAAGAATAAGCCAAAACATTGACACAATCAGGTCAATATTCTCAGATATCTCGGGTCAAGGCAGATTCCTAAAGTCACTTTCAAATTTGAACCAAAATTCATAAAATTGTTCTGGATTCATTTGAATTTTTTATCATTCCTAGATGGTGAATTTACATATATTTCATCATATCGTCTGCAAATTCTTCTGACGATTCTATCATACTATCCATGTATAATGAATGTGAACTGTATGCAAATAACTGTCTTCAGCTGTTTCACGTATTTCAAATACACTCAAAAGTTGAATAATCTGGATGAACCTGACCTCAGATATCGAAACTTTTATGACTAGCTCGACAAAAAATGATAGGTAGCATTATTTGCAACGATATTCCTATCAAATTAAGTCCTGAACAAATCTATTTAAGCATTGTAGGTATAACACAACATGTATAATAATTGTACATTGTACCGAGTGATACGTTATGAAGTACCACCCTAATAACTCTTTTATTTTTGACAGTAGAAAAATACACATACTCACAGGGGATTTCATTCAATTTTTTTATCACTTGGAGCGCACGAAAGGGAATCCCTATAATGTTCAAAGAACATCGTGCATTCGTAGGGAGGATAGGGAAAGGAGGTAGGTATTGGATTTTTTTGAACTTCTGGAGATTATATGTTGTTGGGAATACTTCCTCAGGCAATGAATTCCAGAGCCTAGCCGTTCTATGGATGAAGGAGTTTTGATAAAGTGCTGTTCGACATCTTTCGAGGTGGACAACGAAAGGATGTGCTGACTGGACTTGTCTAGTTCGTCTGACTGGTATTGCTAGTGAAGGGATGATAGCAGAGATTTCCGAAGAACATTTCCCGTGGAAGTACCGATAGAACAGTGAAAGGTCGCCGACCTTTCTACGGTGTTCCAATGATGTCAAAGAGTGAGTGAGTGAGTGTGGCGCTACCCACCAGGCGGATGGCTCTCTGGATGGAATCTGAGAGCATCAGCGTATGTTTTGGTGCTGAACTCCATATGTGGGAACAGTATTCTAGAACAGACCGTATCTGCGCTTTGTAGATCATGAGGAGCTGTTGAGGTGTAAAGAAGCTTTTCGCACGGAACAAGAATCCGAGTTTTTGTGAAGCAGCTTTTGCGATGGATCTCACATGATTATCCGATGAAAGAGTGTTGCTGATGGAAATACCGAGCATAGATATGGTGGACTTGGTGGGGATGGTGGTGCCAGACATTCCAATGTCGGGCATACTGAGTTCCGCCTTTCTAGAGAAAATACAGGCTTGAGTTTTGGTGGCGTTGAATTCAACTAGGTTGTTGGTTCCCCAGGCTGTGATTTCAGCAAGGTCTTCATTGACAGCATTGACCTGCCTGCGCCGTGAGTTCTTAGTTTCCTGGGAAGAAATGGGAATTCTGGATGAGAAAGCAGGATGGAGGATACTCTCATCTGCAAAACTGTGGTTGGGGCAAGTTGTTACTCCCAACAGATCATTGATATTTAGAAGGAATAATGTTGGTGCCAAAATTGATCCTTGTGGAACGCCGGAATTGATGCCAGTGGTATCAGACGATACACCGTCCACCACCACGTGAAGCGATCTGTCTGAAAGAAAACTCGATAAAAGATGGCATAGCTGAGGTGGTAAGCCGTATGATGGTAGTCTGTGGAGGAGTCCTTCGTGCCAAACACGGTCGAATGCTTTCGATATGTCCAACGCGACAGCTAGAGATTCCCCGTGTTTTTCTAATGAAGCTTGCCATAAATGGGTGACGTAGGCAAGTAGATCTCCTCTCGAATCAACATTTTCACTATGCACTACACTGTTTTACCACTATCCAAACCGATTTTTTTAACGCCTCGACACGTGTTTCGCTTACTATGTTAGCATCTTCAGGAGAGCCTTTCTGAAATACCTCACTTAATTTATCTTCCTTTTTTCTCAATTTCTGGGCATCAATAAATATTTCAAACCTACCTCATCTCCTCTCCTCCATGGGTACGCACGATGTTCTTCGAACATTATAGGAATTTCCTTTCATGCGCTAAAAGAGATAAAAAATATTTAGCTATCTATGACATTCAATTCTCATTGGTGGTGATCACTGGAAATCAATATCGTTGTCATTGTTGAGGCGTACTTCCGAAAATCGTTCAAAAAACGATAAAACTCTTTAGTTTTGAATGAGAAATAAAGAAGATATATTGAGTGGAGTATTATCAGAAAGCTCTTCGAAATAAGGTATTTACCGTTGGGAAGGAATAAATAGAGTGTTAAATTTAAAATTTATACACTTTTTGATGCTCCTTGGTCCTTGTATATTTTTTCAGATAGTGAAAATATGTCTGTTGATTCGAGGACGAAATAAAATCCCCTGTGAGTTAGTTTTTCTAAATTTTTTTCTTATGTCAAAAATGAATGAGTAATATGGCAAGGGGTGTTACTTTATAACTTTTCACCAGGTACAGAGGGACATATCCCGTTTTTGCACCAACAAAATCATGTGAAAATACAAAAGATGTTTGAAACAAACTGCATTAAGCCGTCAAGTACCGTAGAATGTGGTTACTTGGAAACTGTGGGGTAACTTTGAGCAAAACTTTATTTTTTCAAATAACCCTCTGGAATCTACAGCTGATTGCATTTTGAAACATCGTATCATGCATAGTTATTCAATATGGTTATATACTATTCGATTGAAAATAAGTGGCGATTGAATATTGTTTCAGGAATGTTGTTTATCATATTGAAACTACAAGCAGCGACATGACAAAAAAATAGCATTGCAAGCTTCAAGTCAAAAGACATAATCGATTCAATATCCGGCGTTCATTCCATGTAACTTATGTTTAGTAACCATTCAGTAGCGAAATGCCACGATATCACTGCCTAATAGTTATACAGGGTGATTCACGGTGGATGGTATCAAAAGTAGAGTATCCTGAAAATTGATATATATCAATAATCGAGCTTCCTGTATCTGTCTAAAATAGTGTTATCCATACAGTGCTGTACACCGAACGATCCAGAGCTCTTGTCGTCGAAATCTTTGTTTATCAACTATTAGCTTCTGAATAGTTCGAATTATGAAAATATTGATATTTATTTCAAGACATATTTTGCTCAACATTTTCCAAAATCAATTATAATCTCTAAAACGGCTCTGGATAGTTATAGCGGAATATCAGACAAAATTGAAGAAACATTGACGTTAATTCAGAAAATGAAATGTTTCACAAGATATGTTTTTATATTTGACATAACCAAGTTGACGTAGATTCGGAAAATGAAATAATTCACAAGATATGTTTCATATTTGACATAACCAAGTTGGCACTTCTTTCTGATGAAACCGGCGACAGTGTATTGATACATAAAGCTTCATTATTGATACATACCAATTTTCAGAATAATCTACTTCTAATACCA